ATGACTGTAGAATCTACAGTAATACAAATTATCCATCATTTTATTCTAACACAAGTTACATTTCAACAAATATTGATCTTACAATTTTATACCAAACTAGCGAGTTCAAATATAAGCTCGAGTTTCAAGGCCGTACTCTACTCGAACTCAAAATCTCGAATACTCGCCCATTTAGTGTTAATTGTATAAATTAGGGATGGTCAAGTCTCGAAATTTCGGGAAATTTTAAATCTCGTTACACGAGATGAGATTTCTTTTTGGCCGAGATTTTTATCAAGACGAGAATAAAAAAAAATAAAAAAAAATTAAAAACGCCTGCAGAAAGTCAATGCAATACCCGCAATACAGGAGCGTGTTGTAGTTGCGTTTCCTTTGCGAAGGCGTTCTTAATGAATTAATTCTTTAAATGTAAATATTGCTTTAATTATTTTAATAATATTACTTTAATAACATTTGAGAAGTTTTGTTGTGTAAGCAGCGTGAGGAATGTTTTATTACTATAAAAAGTCAAAACAAGTACAGTACCAACTATTTTATAAAAATTAATATTGCTTTTATTTTATGATTTATTTTATTTTAGGATAAGTTTAACTCTATCCTAACTGATATCACTACCTATGTTTCCTAATCGTAGGCAGTTATTCTGATGTTTTTTAATAAAAGATTGTAAATATTCTTGCCTATTATCATTATTTTTTTATTTAAACAGTCATCTAACAATGTTACAAAATCAGGTAAAATTTTTGAATGTGCATTTCCCGTTGTGTATGAGAAGGGAAATCCCGTCTCTATCTCGTCTCGAAATTTTATGAGAAATAAAAAATCTCGTCTCGTCTCGTCTCGAACTAAAAATCCAATCTCGTCCATCCCTAGTATAAATAAAACCGGATCCAGCCTAAGATCCTATTGTAGTAGTAAATACTGATTATCAACTTTTTTGGTTCATGCTGATTTAAGAATGAACCAAAAGTATTGAAAGCCAACAAATATAAATGTGAAAACTAAGTAACAATACTACCTGCACATCATAAAATAAACTCTATTTTATTTAATACAGGTCAATAATAATAAACTTAACGATTGCTTTATTGATATAGGCTTATTCTAATTGTTAGTGAAGGGTGAATTTCCTTAGGCAAACCATAAAATTAGCAGTGTCCATTAATGAGGTTAGGTCAGCAACTATCCTCTTGTTCATAATTTTATTTAGTACATTTTTTACTTTAACTTTTTTAAGGTAATGGATCCATTACAGAAACACATGTTGTATTTAATTTTTGAAGAAAATTATGCCGTGCTGCATCGAATCGAATCGCATCGATTCGAATCGAAATTCTTTGAATCGCATCGATGCATCGAATCGAAAAAAATATGCTGCATCGCACACCCCTAGTAGGGATAAAACCCGGTTTTAAAAGTTGGGTTCACGAGTCCAATTACAGATAGTCCCGGCTCTGATCATTAGTCCTGGTGGGTTCACGAGTCAAGTCCGAGCCCAAATGAGATGGTTCGGGCCCAAAAGAACAATGGTGTTTGGTCTCCAACTCAGACCTGGTAGGAGGCAGGTTTAACGTGACATGATGCCGGTTTTATCTAATTAGCTCCTTAATTTTTATTATTTGTTAAAAGCTAATGTTTAAATATGGTTCCTCATTAAATTCCGACAATTTCATTACCCACAACACCATATTTAAAAAATATGTAAAAATGGTAAAAAGGCTCATAAAACATGAAAAAATCATCAAACAACAGATAAATTATGCACGTAACAAAGTAGTATCATAACAAAGATATTTTACTGATAAACCCCATGTTATTACAATTTTAACGACAGAATTATGCGTAGAATATAAATATAACTAATCAGCCACAGTTAAACCTTCGTTATCCAACATAATTATCAGAAATAGTTTTTTGCCATGGGAAACATCAAGCAAACCGTCAGTCGTTGAGTACGGTTCGCGGTGATATCACCGTCTCTTGTGTTGTACTCACTGGTCGCCGTGTGTATTGAATATGACTATGAAATATCTATACTGTATTATGTTAACAATTATGTACCATCACTCCACTACCTCGCATAAGACCAGCTCGTTATCATGACTAAAACCCTTTTATGACTTGATGAATTTTTAAGATAGATTAAAATGTTCCAAAGATACCGTCAATGAGTCATTTGAGGCGTTCACTCCAAGGCACGGATTTCCCGACAGCAAAATCCATTGCAGTATTCTAAATTGAAAAAAAAGTTAGTTACACTAATATTTTTGGCTGATGGCACTTTTCATCAAGAAACTGGTGATTTATTGGATGTTAGTAAAGTTTGGATGGTAGCTATTTGTTTGGTAATGAAAGCAGAACAAATCAAATTTTCAGTTCGAAACTACTGTATGCCCAAAGAAAAAAAAACAATGTTTTCCTACTAGTAAATATAATATAATACTAGTAAATCCTTCCTACCTAGTAAATATAAACGCATTGTAATGAAACTGATTTTAAAAATCGCAACAACACAAAATGTAAATTAAAAACCATAGCTGTTAACATAAATAATATTACGAGTTAATTGCAGAATATTATTTTCAACATTTTACAGTTAGATTATTATAGAGTGTAAGAATAACGGAAAGAATATTCTTTGGTTACAGCCATTAAATCCAGCACACACATACGATTTTTATATCTAATAATCAGTACCTACCTCTAAATACATTTTAGTTTCAATAATTGTACCATTTAAATAAGTTTAGTTAAAATTGTCCTATCCAAAAATCACCATCCTTAATTATCGGGCATTTATGCAAAATAGGCTTTCATCCGGTTATAAATACCCGGTTATTTTATGTCATGCACGTTAATTGAATTATAAATGCACACAGAAAAATATATTTCACTAAAGACTTCCATTATCTGATTTCATACAAACGTGGATTGTTGTGTTTATAAATCAATAAATCAACTTAGATAGATTATCATAGGCGAGCATTGGGACAATGAAATACGAGAAAAATAATCGGTTTGGACGTTTTGGTTCAGCCTTTTTTCACGATCATCCTATTGTATGGAAGTGCGTATGTCAACAGCAGTGGCTTCACATGTGTTTCCTGACTGTTGTTACTGGTTGTTACCAACGTCTCAACAGAAATTCCCTGCGAATCCCTGTCATTAGGCTCCGCTATGGATTTGGTCTCGACCTACACTGGGCCCGGCTTTGACATCATTAGGCTCTGACTCGTGAACCCATTTTTTGGTCGTCGCTTATATAGTCCGGGACCAACGTCTGGTCGCAGACTATGAAGTCCCGAGCTCGTGAACCGCCCCTTATACGATCAAATTTTTATGTTTTATGGAAATATAAATCCGTGTGTATCTTTGCGCGTCTATCGGCACTTAGACCAGTAAATCTGGTCTGATTTTGATGAAATTTTGCATAAATGTCTAGGGCTTGCTACACTTGAATGAGTTCATGAACCAGCAAGGGGGTTATGGGAACAAAGCTTAATCCTCATCAGACCCAGCGTAACCTTGGCTTTATAATCTTATTTTATTTATTTTCTCATTGCCATGCATAGTGGGTAGTCCTAATATGAAACAGAATTCACAAGAGCCTAGCACTTGTGTACATTACAAAGAGATTTCAATTCATATAAGTTCCTCAACATTCAACAACACTGGATCTTTGAAAATGAACTTTGGAAATAATCGAATAACTTCCTGATCAGCATTGTACGTGTTATTAAATTTACGGAAAGTAAATAAAAGAGACGTCTTTTACAAAACTTAAAACATATATTTACGCTTATACTGTTACTCACAAGACGGTAAATATAAAAAAATGGTAACTTAAGTGGTGATCGACGCCCCAATCATCATCAGACCCAATAGGCAAATAATATAGATTCGCCTATTGGGTCTGATGATGATTGGAGTGTCCAATCGAAATCGATCACCACTTACCATCTTTTTTGTATATTTACCGTCTTGTGAGTAATAGCTTTGACTATTAATACCCAATAGTCAATGGTAACAGTATAAGCGTAGATATATGTTTTAAGTGTTATAAGACGTCTCTTTTTTATTTACTTTCCGTAAATAATTGAAACAAAAGGAGGCAAAGCCATTACCGAAATTAACGTTTCGTTATCTTTTGTTTTAGGTAGCAGGTTTTATGGATCTAATGACACCTCAATAGTGAAAATCTGTTAATTAGGATAGCTAAAAAAAGGGGCGTAACAGAGAAAACTCTATTGCATTAATAGAGATAGATATTTATATTATTATATTACTATTATTTTATTTTATATTACCGGTGTAAAATAATCTGAATATTTACAAGATTATACAGGCTACTCTCAACACCTCCCAATTTTAAAACATTTTTATCTGTAGAAGTAAGTAAAATTAGTTATTCAACACGGTTTTTGTTTTATAAAAATTAAGATTAACCTCATAAAAACCTTAAACTACTCACAAATTCTTAAAAAAAATACCGATGGATACAAATATGCATGCCCTAACTCTGTGTCTTTCTATAACAATTCAAATTCTCCTGTTTTCGCGGGAAAACTTGCAGACGACATTGATGACGTGCACGAATCAGCTGTTATTAGTTTGACAGTTCGACAATCGAATGCGACCTTTCAATACTAATTTATAATGAATTTCGAAATATTATTATCGTCCTAGGCTTCCTTAGTAATCTACAAATCACATATAAAAAAATCATAGGTATTGGTAACGCCCTTATAAAACTATATTATCAAAATGCAGATTCATATAAAACGATTGCATGTAACAAACAAATATGTAAGGTGCATTTAGTCAAATTTCAAGAGATACCATGAAAAGATTACTCTAATGTGTTGGTAGGGTTGAATAATTACATTAAGTAAATGGCCATTCATCGGCCAGAATATTCGATAGAATCGATTGTGAGTGTATTACTTTACTGACTTGTGTGTGTTGTTTGCTAGCGTTGTAGTGAGTGTGAGTGTAGTACTACGAGTGGTGGACAGGGTCAGGGATTGTCAAGTCAACAAAGAACTCAGGTCCCTTTGTGTCAGATTTTAGTATGTTAGTCGATTTGGACTTTCCTTTGTTCAACCGGGAGCTCTAAATGGTAATTTGTTATTTCAGATTGCTACTAGAAGATGTAATTGAAACAGGAAAGTATGTTATTTGTTGAAAACTGTCACAGTTGAAGTGAATGACAAGATGTCGGGACAAAGTAGTCAATGGGTGCGTAAGTCGTCCCCTTCTTCTAAACATGGGCCGATGAAAGCTACGTTGCCGATGTCTTCATTAACTAGACAGAACAGTAATCTCATACAAAGTCAAAATAATAGTCCTACGTTATCTCCTACTTCTTCTTGGAAATCAAGAACTTCTCCCGATCCTCCTTTGTCTGGACTTAGAAGCCCCGGGGCCGTAAATTACAGAGGTGAGCTTGTACACTTAGCATATATGCCACATTTCAATATTAGTATATGTTTCCAAATAGAATAGCTGTATTGGAACTCATAACCATTATATAAACATTTCATTTTGTAAATATCAAAGTGATGTGTTTCTCACAAATTTTTAAAATTAAATATAAATTAGGGCCTAGTCTGTTCAATTTAGTTGGCCTATTAAAGATACCAAACACACTAAGCCCTACTTAGATATTTTTACTTGAATTCTGCATGTACCGATGAAAATGACCAGGGCCTAGGCCTATCATGTTAAGTTATCAGATTCTAACTTGACAAGCTCAGATCCCTGAGGCATAGGCCTAGGTTATAAAGTTTGCTGAGGATACGATTCCGGTAACCGAAAGTGGATTAGGCATCCGGCAGTTACTGTCATAACTATACTGGTACCTAACCAACCAAACTTGCTGAAGAAATGAAATTCAAAGCAAGATCTTTAACAAAAAGTTAAGGTTACCGATGGGGATTCGACCCAGGGACCTCTTGCATATCAGCCGAGCACTCTATCCACTACACCACAAACACCGCTGGCTGTGCATCGTATCGTTGTGGTAATGGCGTTCCAGGCCCCCACGACCCGGTGACGTCAAACTGCCCTACGCCTAATCCATGTACGGTTCCACGTCTGGTTTCCGGACGCGTATCCTCCGTGTATAAAGTTTAGTTGTCTTGTACCTTGGCCTAACTTACATTTTGTCAACTTATTTTATAATTAGACCTAAGCAGTGCTTATGGGCACCGTACAGTACCGTACTGAGTTGGTAAATTTAAACCAACCTTCAATGAGAAAATGTAGTCTACACTGTGTCAGCAGAGAAATCACAAATCTCAGCGATTTTTGCATGTCAACCTTGTTTTGTATCCAAGCAACCCCGAAAACCCCAGTACAATTTTAACTTTAACCTAGGCCCCTACCCTTGTTTTTAGTTAACTTAAAGTTCTTAAAGTAGCCTAGGCCTAACGTTGTTTTTAAACAATGACATTTTTTTATTTAAGTGCAAGGCTAAGGCTGATTTAATTGGCTGGTCTAATTTCCCTAAGGATTTTAAGTGATATGTATTGTGTATTTTTGTGAATATTCTTGCACAAACCATCAAATCTCAAATAGCAATTTGGTGACATGACACGGCAAAGTCTTAGACTCAGTGGGTCTTTGAATCTAAATTGGAAAGTTAAATTAAACTTCATTAATTGAATTGTCTCCCTATGCGACAGAGAGGTCTAAAAGTTATTTATCTCTAGGCTCCAAAGGGTGCTATTAGGCCTACTTATTGTGTGTGAGTTACACCCCCCCCCCTCAACTCTAGTAATCCTCAACTCACCAAAGTTCTGCAGCTTTTACCGATATGGGATTTCCACTCCCAGTATTCAAAGGTCAACCTCCGCATAGTCCAGGTCCTCCAAACCCTACAGGATTCTCTCCTACCCCCCCACTAACTTAGCATTTTACAACGCTACATTCACACAAACAGGAAAAATATGATGAGAGACAAAATGCATTGAGTCCCAACAGAAATAGACGTTTGATTGTCAATCAACCAGTATTTACCAATTTACAAATACCCCCGTCGCATCAAACCTGCAGACTAAGTTAATCTGCGAGAGGTTGCATAGCTGTCTAAATGACAGGGCGTAAAGATTATATTTATTGGTTGTCGGTATCGTCAGCCTTTACTGTGTATAACACACCACATTCCAGGAACACTGTGACATACTTTTTGCCATCCTTCATCTCCTAATTTCAGTCTAGTGACCGCTTTTTGTCATGTACTGGTTCGATTCCACCATGTGCGTCTCCTATTGTTTTAGAATTACCGGACAATAAGACAGTGTGCGACTCCTCGTGGTTTGTAAATAAATGCTTATTCTTCTTTTAAATTTGATTGGCTACAGTTTTAATTCACTAGGCTACCATGTGCTGGGCCATAGAGAAGTATTTAAATGTACCTCTCAGTGGTTAGACGTGGAATCTAACAAGTAAGTTAAAGTATAGGATTGATAGTCCATCGTCATGTTGAGAGAAATGAGGATGTTAAATGTTCGGTGTGACACTTTGAGGAATATTTTCTATGGCACCTTTTCAATGAAAAATTGAGAGACATGAAAATATTGATGATAAAATGAATAAAACTATGATATTGGCCACAATTTTAACCCGCTTTGACTTTTTAAAGGCGTTCGACTGCATATACCATCTTGTTTTATTGCTCTAACTGGATTGAGTCCTATCTGTCTGGTTGTCAGCAGTGTTTCAAAGTCGGTGACAAATGTTCTGCTTGGGAGCAGACTAACTTACTAGAGGGGTTCCTCTAGGATCTGTTCTGGGTTCACTACTATTCTTAACTTACATCAATGACATCACAATACATATAAACCCAGGCCCGTTTTTGACTCTGTCAGCGCCCTAGGCACTACTAATAGTAGCGCCCCTTTGCAATATATATACAGGGTGTCCACCGACCAGGAAAACCGGGAATCCGTGAATTATGCTTGAGTTTATTGAACCGGGAATTATGCATGAATTTTGTATATCCACCTGGAATTTTCAATTTACCGCCATCGCGAATAACAACAGTGATGTTTCCGTGACCGCGGGAGACGGCAATAAGTCTACACATGGCCGCGAGGGATTATCAGAATTTTCCGCTGTCCAAGAAGACGTTGGTGATATCTACAGAGCCGCGGGGGATGATCAGAATATTGCCGCGATTACGGAAGGCGATGATAATGTCCACACGAACGCAGGAAACAGCAAGAATTTTGCCGCGATTGCAGAAGACGATGATGATCGCCACACGACTGTGAGATATGATTAACATTTTGCCGCAATCGCAGGAAACAATAATTACGATGTCTTCACGACCATAGGAGACGATTAAGATATCTACAGCACCATGGGAGATACAATAATGATTTCTACACATTAAAATGCCACGATCGCGCAAAACAATTATAATGCCCACATGACCGCGGGAAAAGGTCAGAATTCTGTCTCATTCGCGGAAGACGATGATCTATACAATACACGGCCGAGGGAGTGGGAGATGATTACCATTTTGCCGCAATCGCAGGAGGCGATTACTATGTACAAACGACTGCGGGGGACGATATAATGATGTCTTCATGGCCGCGAGGGGTGATCAGAATTTTGCCTCATTCGCGGTAGACGATGATAATCTCCTCACGACCGCGGGATATGTTCATATATTGCTGCGAATGCTGCGATCATGGAAGGCAATAATTATGTCTACACGACCTTGGAAAATAGTAAGAATTTTGCCTCAATTACGGGAGACGGTTACTATGTCTACACGGCCGGGAGGGATTATAAGAAGTTTACTGCGATCATGCAAATACAACGGCAATTTTTTGTTTATTTTCCAATTTTTTGGCGCCCCGCAAAAAAGTCAATTTCCTCGCGCCCTAGGCACGTGTCTACTGTGCCTATTCGGTAAATCGGCCCCATATAAACCCACTCTACCACCCGTGGGCTGACGAGTTACAGATTCACTCCCACTTCAATTTAGACAGGTATTCGCAGTATCAAACATTTTGCAGAGTAACTTCCTCTGAACTTTAAAATTATGTGAGTAAAAACTCAAATTTTGACTCATTTCAACAACCGTGACATGGTGACCAATGACATGACTACTGAGGTTTCCAGCTGGCTTTAGCGAGCACAATATTCCTGGGTTAGGCTACTTAGATTCATATTTTCCGTAAGACGGTGTGAACATGCTGCATCCAATTTCAAATTACCGTACTTTCATAAATGAAGCTAAAATAACTTTGGGAATCCACAACCTCCGTCTTCTGCCATATCAATTCCAAAATATTTATCTGATAACTTTAATTTAGTTTCTAACTTTAATAGGCTTACTTTAATGCATATTCACCTTTGCCACTGGTAGAGGTTTTTATCTTTTATTCACTACTCAACAGTTTACTATAAATCTTTCTTGGTATGTTTCCAATATGAAATTCTCTTCCTGACCACATAAAAGCTAGAGTAAACGGTGTAAGGTGTGGGCAGAGATCGAATCCATTATTTTGAGGAGCAGGCATGAGTCTTTGGCGCTGGTGTGATGCATTTTTAATGGCTTGTATTGTGTAAATTATTCATTTTAGGGTTACCGTAGGCCTAATCCGTTTCATCATTTAATCATGTTTAGGCCTATAGGTTTATAGTATGTCAATTTCGATTCAATTATTTTATTTTACTAGTTCACCTGTTGCTCGAATTCGAGCAATTGCAAAGTATTACAGGTGTTATTTTAAAACAACTGACAGTCATAATTTCCGATGACTTAGAGTCAACTTGAAGAGAATGTAATCAATCACTCCACTCCAGTTATCAAAACTGAAAATGAACTCACTCTGAAAACAAACGCTCATGCATGTATCATAATATGTTTACTATGAACAGCTGTAATTAATACAAATTATTCGTTTGTTAAAGCATTTTTAAGGTAAACAAAATCTTTTCTTCATAAGAAATACATTGGGATTTTGATGGCCTGTGGGGCAAAGCCCGACAACTTTTATTACAGGAATTGGTGAAAGGGGGCGTCTACACAAAAAATACTTAATTTTGACACATAGTTTGTAAAAATCCGTCCATTATTAACGGAGGAGTAGTGTTTTGTAGAAATCGCCTTCACGTATTATATATAAGGATTTATTAAGATGAATAGTTTCAGGCTATGTTTTAGAGGTTAAGTGTCAGAGAAGACTTGTTAGTCCTAACTTCGCCTCTCAAATAAAGACAATTTTCATTTCATTTAATAAAGATTATTTCTATGTCTCTTGTAAACAGAATTTTTTCTACCTTTCGTTCCGAGAAAGCTTCTAATATTTTTTTGTATAAAAAAAATCTTACAAATAACCCTTTTCCCTCATGAAGGCTTGTGAACCTCTCTACTAAAAGGTCGCCATCTGGCACTATCGTCAATTCATCCCTAATTTTGCTTTTCTTTAATAACGAAGCAAATAATCTATTGTATTCAAGAACAATTAGACTATTGTTGTATGTATGTAGGTAAAAGCAAGAGGCTAGAGTACCTGAGCACCATCAGAAGAACTGCATCCTTGGACACTATCTATCTGATGGGTCAGTGGCCGAGGGACATGTACAGTGGACTGCTGCAAGTGGACAAAGCAACTCAGGTAGGCGTACACAAAACAGCACTGAGTAGCTAAGGAGTCGCTGTCAGTAACAAATGCATTCAATCATATCACTAACTAATAAATATTGCCGCGTAGTTGAGTGGATGTTGCTTGCATAGCTGTCCTAATCAAATGGTTATCGGTTCTATCACACTAACTAATAATGCATGGTAGTTGAGCTGTGAGTTGATGTTGCTTGCATAGCTGTCCTAATCAAATGGTTACCGGTTCAATACTGTCAACAGCTCATCATATCATTCACTCATCATTCATATTTTCCTTAAAATACCACATGCACAAACTGTAGGCTATGGTGTGTCGGCGTTGTAGGCCTATAGAAGACCGCAAATCTACAGATTAGAAAAATGAATCCACCTCTAGCATGAATTCATGCTTTATCTAGTTGCTATGTACTGTTAATCGTCAAAATTCTTTTCCATGAATAAAACTTCCATGTTAAAACAAGTGAATGTTGTAGACTGAAGAAACTATGGGAGATCCGAGAAAAGCTCATCGCCATTGTGAAACTCCTTCAAACGAAGACAAGCTTGAGAAATACATCAGACACAGGTACTTTTACTAATTTTCAATTCAAACAAATTTTATATTTCAGTTTTTAGGTGTAAACATGAAATAAACCCTAGTTTTGTCCAAAATAAAGCTATTTTCTTATTTGACAGCAATTTGTAACCCTTTTGCCAATATAATGTAGAACACGAGGCAAGTACACCTGGCAAAGCCTTACAACCTAAATTGGAACCAAACAAAACAGATGTGCAAATTTGGCACTCCCAGGGTTTGTTGTTGTGAAAGTGTTTTACCAAGTTGGCTACTTTTCAATGGTGATATAATGTTGACGTCCATTCATAACAAGACTTAATGTGAGGACATTAAGGTACATTTAGCATTGCATTTTAACCATGCAATGCAAGACCTAAGCTGGAATTGTATGCTATGTACCCAGACATAGAAATACAAAAGTAATCTTTTGTGTTTTTGAAAAGGTATCTAAATTTTGTAGACAAGCATTGTGAGTTTTTTTTTCACATCATAGATCATTATTCACGTCATTATTCACATAATTTGCCTCTGTTGTTCTATGCTATCATCGAATTGTCTTGAATCCATGCTCTTTATTCCCCATTGCTAACTAAAACACTTCTTAGACAGCACTTATTATTTTGAATTTATTAAAGCATTTCATCTCAACGTTGAAAACAACCACACATTAAAACAATCATGTGTTATTTGTTTATATTACATAAAGTGCCCATATGATTTACCTGTTAAGGCTCCAACGCGTGGGGTCGAGCCGTGAACGGACTGCAGCCTTTGGTTTGATGTTGGCTCCAATTGGCTCCACGGAGCACGGGTCTCAGACAGCCACGCCTCCACCGTTCTCTCCCCCCGGCCGCAGCAGAGCTCCGATGCGCAGCTCAATAGAGGGGCTCAACCAGGAGATAGAGCGACTCGTACTGCGAGCCACATCCACTCTGAGCACCGAGCGGGAGGAAGAAAAGGTGGGGATTTCAAACATAAGTATCAGTTGCATTTACTGAAGGTTAAATCATTGCCTACAAATACCACTAGACTCTATAGTGATATCTGCATAAAATAAAACACCGCTATATGAATGAAAAGGTATTCAATTCAAATGTTTATATGGTAAAACAGAAACAAAACAAAACATTTTAACAATAAATATTTTTAGCCAGTTTTAGAATGTTAATGAACATAGTTGAATTAAGGCCCATCAGGGTGCGTTGATGTAAATTACTAATTTCATACTGAAGCGAACTCTCTCTTCGATTGGCTTATTTAACTAGGCCTATATATTTTTTAAAACGCTCGCTACAAGCCACTCACCGGTGAGTGCTAAAGTTCCTTTCTGCCACGCTGAACGCTCACAGTTGAGTGCCGGCATCGCCTACATTCCATTCAATTTCTGCGCAGCAGCACACCAAGAAGAACGGGTATTTTTATGCCTCCGTTTAGTTAGGAATGGGTGCTTTATTGTGGTGTAGGTTGGTAGTAAATAACCCCATAAAATCCCCTTCTAGCAAGCTTAGAAATCAACTTGTTGTCCCGTCTTTCTCCCTCCAATTGGCAATACAATGGGACTGGCTAGTTCCAGGCAGTGCTGCTATCTGTGAGTGTTTCAGCAAACTACCTCGACTCTCCTCGTAACGCAGAACATCACCATTCGCCATTTACATTTGGGGCATTTACTATTCGTCAGACCTGAAATATTTTAAAACCAAGCTGGTTTGCTTGACGCTGCGCAGCACCGGGGCTATGCCTGTCATTGGTGGGTCGCAGCAATTGTGTTAATAAAACATTGGTTACAGCTGTTCGTTATGGTCGGGTAACTGCTTCAGTATCCAAAAATCAATTGTAAAAAGTCAGTAGTATAAACAAATGTTTACCGATTAGAGTGATTGTGGTCGCAAAAACACAACTGTAGCAAACTTATTAGATTCAATTTTCTGCCCTCCTGAAGCTTATGTTGCAAAGTACTTTTTAGATTGTATGAAGGGAAGAGGAGTTACAAATTCATTTCATAGTTAGTTTATACAAATATGTAAAAAAACCTTAACTTCCACTTCCATGTTATGAACCTAAACTAAAAATAGTGAGGAACATTTATGTGAACAAACATTGGATAGTAGATTTTTTTCAATGACCTAGCGTGGAAATAAAACAACCTTATACCCCTGCACCGCATGAATTGATAATAGCAGGTTTTGCTGCAGTGTGATTAAAAGCTTTTTTGTCATACCGTAGCAAAAACAGCAGTTTTTAATACATGCGTTGCAGGTCTAAAGTAGCTCTTTCACTCCCTAAAAAGTGTCTTTTAGACGTCGCTAGTATCCGACCTCGGCTTTGCTTCGATCGTGAAACTTGAGCTTGGGTCAAAAAGAGTCACTTTAAGCCCTAGTGATGAAATATACTATTTTTAGAACTATAAGCATATCCTCTAAAATCATTTAAACAGGTAATTATGAATTAGAATATTTTTGAAGTCTTAAGTCTAAGTAAGTTTATTCAACATAGAAGTATAGTAATGATAGTCCCTGTGTGCTTTGTTAACAAGGATCTCGACTTGTTTCAGTTGCAGCTCGTACATCAAGCTACTCCTGAAGGTCATCGTGCTCCACTAGCAGATCTACTCCGCTCCACTCGCTCAGTCAACACACAGACTCCGGCCTTTAGTTCTCACTCTTCAGGTATAGTAACACAAAACCTTAATTTATGATCAAATGGTTGTTTCAAACCATAGTCCAATGGTTGATGGTTAGTCTTTAGATTTATCTTTTATCTTACAAGATTTCTTCTCTCATCCAGCTAGAGTGCTTACATTTGATCTTTCAGGTTAAGTTAAGGCATGTTACAGGAGTAAAGCGTAGACTGGAATGATGGCTGGACTCGCTCTAAATCTCATTTGTCATGCCTCACTAAATTCGCCACTCGAAGGCGGAAATATCTTGAATTATTAAAATCTTCAATTATGCCTGATCAAATACTTGAGAAAACATCATGGTACTGTAATCTAAGTTATTATAAAACAAATAATTTTATGTTTGACACATATTAAACAGCCAACTAAGTTTTAAAATGAACTTCATATACTTCCAAGTCCAACACCACAAGTTTTCTGATTTACACAAGAGAAACCCACAATTGTTTGTCTTGCAAAACTTTAAATAATACAGTATCTTGGTTAATTTTTCATATTATTCATAAAATTTATACTTTCAAGTGTTACATTCAATGAGGTTGTGATGTGGCTCATGAGATTTACTGTGAGATCATCCATTATTCTGTTCTGCCCTACAGTTAAGGTAGTTTGCCTTAACTTAACCTGAGACAGGGTATAGGTTCTTTTGTCTTAGACAATAAACCATAGACAAATTATTGATTGAAATATTCCTAGAGAACATTCATGCATCAGGTACAATTATTTGCAATTACAATTATAATTTGTTATCGATTTATTTAGGTATTTTTAAACTAGCTTATTGTTTAGGAATTCATCCTCTGAGTAGAACGGCCGGTCCATAAGCCATGTTGTCAGGTGCTTCTTGAACAGTCTGGGGTTTCTCTCTTGAGGTGCTCTGGTAGTTTGTTAAGGTAGAGAGCACCATTGTGGAGGAAATGTAGCTGCTTAAATAATGATTTTGTATTTTATTGCGTCACGCCAAAATTTGTTGTTCCTTTTGTATTTATGTGTAATTACCATTGCAGGACCTCCTTCTCGGGAGTCTGGATCACCTCTAGTGGTCGGCAACTTTGAACTGGCTTCTCGTCCTTCAAGTGACTTCCAAGGTAATATAACTTTCTAAAGTCTTAATTAAATTTGTTTTGGATTTTGACCTTGCTTTGAAAACTAGGTAACTTGTTAATTTTTTCTTCTAGAATTGATGCATTGGCTGCAATAAGATAGGTTAACACGAGCTTCATTGCTCTAGTTTTAAATCTGATTGAACACACATTATTGACACAAATAACATTTAAACAATTACAACAATTATAATAATTAGTTACAAAAATCATTGAACAATAAATAACAACATACTAAGGCTACATATTTTCACTGGTCGGCCAAACTAAACAAAAATATTTAGTTAACAAAACCATCCTGAGTGGTCATCACAATTTATTGGTTTTATGAGGTCGCAACACGACTCATAGAGGATAGACGATTACAAGGTGTTTAACCAATGTCATTGATTTTGTTATGAACCATCCATAAAGTAAAGAATCTTTAATTTTGTACTAATTTAGGTGACTTTACTTTGTTGTGGAATGCTACGAACAAAACATATGTAAAGTTACAAAGTATCAAATGCCAGTAGATTTATGAAGGTTAAGTGTAAAATGATAATTTTTTGTCTGTAGGAAGTGGTGATTCCTCTCCAGAACAAGACAGTAGACCAGGAACTTCTCCTCGAATCAACAAATTTCTTGCACGAGAACCTCCAGATGGCTGTGAACGAGTTAGCCTCAAGTTCTCAGAAGATGTTAGGTAAAAATAGCCTATGAAGCGGATCTGGTGGTAGACAGAATACTTTTATCGCGGAAATCCATTTTCAAATAAAATAAATTTTGGCATTTTTGTAAAGGATAACTAATTGTGCAATACACATGTTCAGTATAAAAAATTGTATGGTACAAGTCCTACATATCATCAATATGCCTTCTAGGTAATGACAATGTCTTGACTCTGTGGTTCAGAGCACTATTTTAGTTGTTTGTCCACCTATTTAGAAGACAAAAAACATTTTAGGGAAGGAAAACTTTCTCACTATTGAAAAACACGCTCACAATTAAATCATAATATTAAAATAGATATTTGATAGGATAGTCCAATAGTCAGGTTTACAATTGGGTCTGGAGACATATTTATGGCCAACTTCAATATTATTTGGTTGAAAATGACAGTGAAATATTCTGACTTTTGTGTATAGTGTAAAGTTTCTATTTCTTGTGCCATAGTGAACTCTTTCTCATTCAGATTAGCCGGCTTTCATGACAAAAATCCTTACAACCTATGCCCTTGTGAACTTTAATCCTTAACACACAACACGAATACTACGACACGGTATGTATCATAAACTTACTGGCCCGAAAGTAAACATTATTTAACATTGCCTAAATGGAACTGTCAAAACCACGTTAATGTTATTAGTATAGGATTCGGACCAGTTATGTCATTTGTTTTTGTTTATGATCCATCGGTCGGAATTCAAGAGTATAACCTTCAAGTATCAGCTAATTGTCTGTTGTTTGCAGTAACCGCAAGCCTATGCTGGATCTGAGCCTGATGGAGCTGTGTCCCATCAAGCCAAGCACCGCGTGTCAGTTTAAGCCTAGTCTCGGGTCAGCGTTCATGCCTCTCAGTCGGCCAGTGGCCACGTCAGCCACCACTTCTCACGACCCTCCCTCCCAACTGTAAAACATCTGTGAGTACAGTATAGGACGATGTCAAAATACCATTCAATTATAATTTTGGATAATTTATATTATTTGGCCATTAATGAATGACTAAATTCTCTCACTGAATTCTCGTTGCTCTAACATAGAAATGTAGGTTCTAATCCGTGGTATTTTTAATGGGGATTTTCCCATAAAACCCCATAAAAAACTGGAAAAATAGGATTTTCTCAAAAATGGCCCGAACGATTTTGATAAAAATTTAGTATGTTATAGTCCTTTATATTCTGAACAAAATGGTACAAATCCCATTTCTGTAAAAATTACGGTTCAAAAGTTATGGTGGATTATGTTATTTTCCCATAAAAATCCCCATAAAATAACGGAAAATCGGATTTTCCCAAAATTGGCTAGAACAATTTTGATAAAAATTTAGTATGTTATAGTCCTTTAAATTCTGAAGAAAATTTTACAAATCCCATTTCCGTGTATTTATTTACACTTACCGCTTACACATGAGAAAGGTTGTTGACAATCTTATGGGAGAAAGTATGTGTCAGAATGCTGATACCGTTTATTTTTTCTATAGTTGATTCTGGGTAAGATAAAATATAATTTACTGATAAAATCCATTGAGAAGATTACTTGTGTACTTTCTTCTGATGCTGATTATATTTTCCAGGGCGAAAACGAAAATACAGAACTCCAGTTTTGTGTAGCCGGCATCACTTAACAGTACAATAATAATTACCTTCATAGTTTTAGTTAACAATGGTTGAATTGAAGTGGAACCAAAGTTCTACTTTGTTCGAGCTTAAATTGTTATTCCATTATTATAGTGTTTTGTATTTTGTATAATTATATTAGCACCTTTCAGTCAGGGGGGTATCATGGATTGAGTGTTTTTAACAATTAGAGATTTTTATGAAATGATGGTCAGCTAATTTCAGATACTACGGTACATCACCTTAAATAAATAATATAATTGGAGAAGAAAATGCAGGGGTTTGTTATAAAAAAGATAATTTTCTATCATGGGTATAGTTAACTACGGGTAGACTGTTTGTTTTAATAACATATTTAATACCTATTCAAACGACTTTCTAAAATTTTCTTAAGTATCAATATAGCCTAATTTTTGTTTTATTCTTGTATGTTTACCTCAAGATTCATGAGCTCCTGTAACCAAATTGTGGAGGTGGAATTGATGATTATGATTGAAGTCTAGACTGTCAACCAATAGTTTTCCTCTAACTTTTTACCATTGTATTTAACCAGTTTGAACAGTGATGCCTTGTTTTGTTTTGTTTTACGACTGAATAGTATACAACTTAGAAACATTTTTCTGTAGATTTGTTCTTTAGTCCTTCAAATTTGTAACTAATTACATAGATCAAACATTTATTTATGTAAACATCCATGATCCCCATCCCTGGCTGAAAAACATTGAATGAACTGAATTTCGCTAAGTTGCTCTGTACTTATATAGCAATGTTGTTACTGTTGCTTAACTTCAAAGTGCGTTTAACTAGAGTATGTTTAGCAGAATTGTTGCAAGTACATGGTTTATTCTGTAAAATCTGGTTATCTTTGGATTTTGATTATTTAAATGTTGTATTCAAGAAATGATAAAATATTTTTTATGGGGTATAAAATATTTTAACTTCTCTGGGAACTATTTTGTACAGTGGTAATTTGTAGGAAAAGTTAAATATCTCAATTAATATACCTATCGTAAATACTTTTTCCAATAAAAATTTTGTTAACAAAGGGCTCAAATGTTGAAATACTTTCTCTTAAAATTTTGGACTTCAGGAATTTTGAAGTTTCATGACCTCTGAAAAATTAGTAATAATTTTTTCCTCTGAAAGGGTAATTATTTACCAACTATTTATTCAAAACTTCAATGGGGAAAATGCACATTCATGTACTAATTTAAATTTACTATGTACTGCAACAAAATTTGACCATAAAAATGGCAATCTAACAATTAAATGCACTTTGAATTTTGTACAAATATGTTTGTTACTGTCTGATTTTAAGATGACGAATTATACTTGTTTGTAAAGTGTTTCTTTGGAAGGCAGACAGAGTATTTAAAATGTTATTTTAAACATTTGAAATGTCGATGTAATGGTACTGTTCAGTCATAATGTGTCTTTAATTAGATGTAAGAAAGTGACTTGTTACCTCAGCCAGCAGCTGTTTGTTATAACCTTGAAAATCTCTAGATTCTGAAAACAGATTTTTCCTAAATTTAGCAGTATCTTTTTCTTTAGGTTTTGCAGAAATAAAAAGCACTTGTCATTGTGACATTGAGTTAGAATGAACAGATTTCTCAACTGGCTGTAAAGGGAATAGTTATACGCAGCACACAACTTATTAAACTTGATGTTTCACCTCTTCTAGAAGGTTTTTGCTGAAAAATTTGTAGAATGGGAGTTGGGTAGACAAATGTTTCTAGGTCAAAACTGCTGCGGCAAATCCAAGTTGGCCAATTACAAGTTGAAAAACTGGCGCTGTGTACTATCAACTGCTCAGAATTGTTTTTTAAGTTATTTGTAAATTTGTTCCTCTATATAGTAGTAACGGTTTTGTAAAAGGTTAACGGTTCATATGTAATAATACATCATCAAATAATATTCCACCTTGATACTGTTTGCATTAAATTTATTGTTAATCACTTTATTATGTCATACAATATGGCTGCTGGCAGATGGGCCGGTTCAAGACTGTCTACGTAGGGTAAATAAGTTACCTTGCTGTAATGTATCGTAATAGCTATGCTCCATGCTCTAACTATAGTGTTTATCAGGTACCTAGGAAAATTGGTCGTTTCTGACCTAGTGGTTCTAGACGATGGGATGTATGATTGGCAAAGTTTGCGTGTGTTGCTAGCATCAGAGTTCCTTGCAAGAGGGGTTCACACCTAGCATATTCACTTTTAAAGGGTTTGTACGTTTACTCTTAAGTATTTTAGTTGATCTCTTTGCAAAATGTCTCCGGTGTAGATAAAACTAATGATAACTAAAACACGACAGACATGCAATGCTATATTGTTGAAAAGTGGATTTAAATTGTTTCCCCTACCCTAATGCAAACCTAAAAAGTAATATTCTCAAATTATTTTGTAACACTTTTTTCAAAATTTATTAAAAATCAAATAGCTAAATATTTTTTAACCAACAGACAATGTTTCAGATAGATACTTAAAGACTTCCTGTTGATGTAAAAGAATTTTACTGTTCTCAAAATTACTATTTATTTATTTTTTTGATTATTCTAATTTCTAAATCCCACGAACGTTTTCTTCCAATGGGGAATCAGTCAGAATGCTCTCTGTGAAAACATGGCTTTTATCCAACCAACTGTGAAAGTATATTTCAAACTTCTAGTCAGCCTTAATCGTGAGTACTCTTAAATTTTATCCTAAATCGTTTGATGTGCGAGACTAGAACCACTATGGATGCAGTCTCATCACTATCTTGTTTGCACTGTTGTTGTCAGTAGTTGGTGGATGCCTTAATTCTATTATGCCTTAGTCATGGTTATGTTCTGTATTATGCTCATTTCATACACCCTTGCTCAATTTCATGGTTGACCTATAGAATATTAAAACATTCTTGAATACCAATTTGTTTTAAACAGTTGTTGAGAAATTTATGCCCAGCAAGAATTACTTTGGTCTTCTTTATTTTGGTCCTCATTTATTTATCATACTTCAATAAAACAACAAAACACTTCTCACTACATTTTGAGTAGTTGAGTTAAATTACTTCACACCTTTCATCCTTATAAGATTCACCTATTGTTCATTATCATTATCTAAAGTCTTTATATTCCAATGTATTAAAATTATTTGGCTAATTCACCACTATGTGGTAGGGTATAAGAAGTTTTAAATTTGGTAAATGTTTTTAACATGGGTGTAAAGAAAACGTCAAATAAACTATTGAAGGAAGTTACACTAGTTTTTTAGTCGTTTGTCAATATTATCACCAAACTAAAAACAGTCTCACCCCTAAAATTTGACTGAGATATATCGTGTTAAAGAATTGTTAAGATCCAAAAGAACTAAAACCCGGTGTATAGTCAATGGTATCTGACTTTAATGTCCCTGTTTAATTTATTACATCTACATCTAAATTGTTCTTAAACAAGTTGATTACTGAATTATTTACATTGTTCTATTATGAATGAATAATGTATATAAAGATAATTATTTGTTATTACAAACAAAGATTTGTAAGAGTTACTTTGTGAATGTTTTGATTGATTATAATGTATAGTAAATTGTGTGTTTTAATTTGATTATTTGGTATTTTTCATTGATGAAGGTTGTTTGTAATTTGTTATTTTTAAGAATTTCATGTTTGCAATTGATTTAAACCAGAATTAGCTCACATTTTCACATACAAGAATGCTAATGAATTGATTATGTCAATACTCCCATCTTCTTTTTGATTTTCAATTATTACAAAGCCAGTCATGTTGTGGAATCTACTTAGGTTTTTACTACCTTTCTGTTTTAGTCAGTTTAAGTTGAAGGCATGGTATAATGGGTATTTCTTGTTTATAAAATTGCTTTTATGTAACTAAAAATTCATGCAAATAACTTATCATTTAGTTATGATAAAAAATGTAATACAGTTTTTTAAAACACGATGGAAGTTTCTGTATGCGATGAAATGAGTTTATGAACATTACTGCCTAGTGAAAATCAAAAGCTTTTTACTGCCATGTTTGTTTGTTGGTTAATTTAAGGTTTACCTGAATGTTAAATTATCTTGCCTATATTTATTGGAATGAGAAACTTAAAAAACTATATCTAAAGGCGTATCAGTGGGAGTGTACTATGCCCGGCTATTGATTGATTATACAATTTGCCTTACATAATATTAACTTGTTGTATTTGTTGAAGATAAACCCTTACTTGAGCTAACCAGAGGTGTTGTTGATATTTATAGTTTCTAATCAGTTTTCCCCTCAGTTACTATTTACTCTATTTCCTCAAGTACAAAATTTGCCACAGAAAGAGTAAATTGCAAATACTTTGAATTATTTAAACTTAAACATATTAATCCTACAATATCAAACCAATATTGTATAAACAAATGCCATAGGCAATTGTTTAACTATTGGATGACAATTTTAAAACCAAACCATAATGAGTTATTTGGGTTTTTTCGTTCTGAAGTTTATATCAGTACAACACTTTCAAGAAACAAATATGATATCTCAGTTAAGGTGGGCTGGTAAAAATAAGAAATGCAGGGGTTTTCAGACGTATAATAGTAACTGAGGATGGATTTTATATCCTTGCCCAGGCCTTATAATTCAATTCTGATTTAAAATTTCAATTATATTACCTTAAGCAAGGGTCATATCCTTGTATGATCCTCTTGTATCACCTAATTCCTGTTTTACATTCCCGTTAAAATTTTACCCTATATTCATAAGTATGATGTAGTACTAAGTATTTGTTTTACAGTATTAGGTATAAATGGACTTTATACTCAAGAATTTGTTTAAATCATTGTGCTTATTTTTTGAATAAATAATTTTTTAGAACGTTGAATGGAATATTGTGTAATGTTGGGAATCGTAATAATTGGGAATCGTAATGTTGATAGAGACGGTATGTTTGGTTTTATATGTGATCCTATTGGCGTCTAGGTATGTTTACATACAACGGTCCGTTTTGTAGCAGAGGTCTGATTGTATATATTATTCAGACCAGTTTTAATGTGAAAACCAAAAGTACAAGTGTATATATTGTTGACTTTCGCTCAATCGAGTTTGATTGTGATTATGATCAAAAGTTGTACAAATTCTTGAAGCAGTCTCGATGCCGTTTACCCTTTGTTATTTAAGTCACTGCGACATTGTACAGGTAGAAAAAAACTATTATTTTTTGTAACTCCCTTATTCTATCGGAATAAAAATGCAACAATAACTGTTTGATTTCATTTAAGCAATCCTAGATCTCCTCTCCTCACACTGTAGGTTTAAAACTGCATAAAGAGTAAAACTCAAAGCTGTTGCTAAGACCAAGCATTGACAAACTGCTGTGAAAGCGGTTGATATCAATACATGTATTGCAGTGAAAAAGTACAATAGTCTATTTTTGTTTAGGTTAAAATTAAAAAGAAATAAGCTGAAGTGAAGTGATTAAAAAATTCTTCTTTAATCAACTAAAATATTTTTTTGAACTTGCATCTATAATTTATCTTATCAATGAATTTCCCATATAGGGAATAAGCTATTAGCGTAGGTCTCATGGTAAGTTAAATGGACACGGGACTGAATTAATTTTTTGTTTTTGATGTCCCCAGAGGCCAAAACGCCATTCGTTCATATCCATATCTATGTGTCCAACTGCACAATATTTAGAGTAAAAAGAAAATCATGAGATTTTGGAGTGAAAATTTAAAAACGTACGTTTTCAGGAAAAGCACTTTGCAAATATTTTTCCCCTTTTTTCAAAACTTTTTTTATTTTTTTTATTTCATTAACATAAGTTTCATAAAATGTCCATGGTAACGCAATATCTTTGGTAGTTTTTTTTAAAAGAGCATCTTTAGTGGAAAAACACAAAATCCTGTCACGCACGACCATAACAGACGTTTAAATGAATTTTAAAAATAGTTAATATTATTTTTATAACTATGTTTTGCTATAAACTAATTTACTTTTATGACCATTATACAATAAAAAGGTCACCGAGCTTTTGGTATATTTGGTCTTTCTAGAAAAAAATTAAAAACTCAAAAAATTGAAAAAAGCCAATAAAATCTTAAGTTTGTATAACTCCGAAAAAACTTACCTGAGACCCGAAAAATCGTTATGTTTGTATAGAGGTGTGCTTATTTTGTGTATAAAACATTGACATATGACGATATTTTAATTTTTAAAATTTTTATGATAGAAATCATAAATGTGATGGTCAGGGACAAGCGGTACGGTTGTGAATTTTCTGAAATAATCTAAATCTTTCTAAACAATCCTTCAATTATACTGTTAGTTATAATAAAAATATGTGTTTCAATTGAAGTAAACTGTTCAATTTACAATTATATTAAAGTTGTTGTCACGACCAAACACACTATAATCCATAAGGCTGGATTGGTCGTGAAAAAACCTGCGATGGTCGTGAAATTACGTGTTATTTGGCTCTGTTCTGGCGGTAGCCCTGCACCTCATGTTCGAGGATACAAAGTGGACTTCAAGATTAATCTAGTAATTGAAATATCTTATAAACAAAAATTAACACCATGTCTACTTCATCGAATGACTACGTACGGTAATGGACACACCAAAATTACAAAAAACACAATCTTTCCTTTATTAATCTTGTAATTCCTCCTTTCAACTCGAAACGACCGGCACTACAATCCTGACGTACACCCCGAACTAGTCTCTAAAACCAACTGACTCCATCGACGCCAGGCTTGCCACTGTCGTGCTCCAAAGTAGAAAATTTGTCCCAAATGGTCGTTACGCCAAATCGAGGGACAGACTTATTTTGTCTTGTTTTGTGTATAGTTAGTTTGCAATGACAATAAAATTATAATATGCTCCTTTTTTGTAAGTTTAATAACCATTGATGACATAAAAATATGGCTTTATATATTTCGGCATGAATAATTAGTCTAAAAACAGCGTGAAAGTTGGAAAATGTACCCTAGGGACACATCATGGTCGTGAATTTCGAGACTTTAAAAATACGAAAAAAATACCTAGAACCTATTTAAAACCAAATAAATGTGTGTCCCATGTTGCCCCCGTCCCAAAAATATTAAAAGGCCAGGGACATGAAAACGTAAGTTTTTAAATTTTCACTCTTTGATGAAATTTAATTTAGTACAAATGTGTAAGGTAAACCTACACTTACTCAAATGAGTTCGCAAACCACCATGATCGGACTATGGGAACAAGGTTTTATGGGATGAAACCTTAAAAACAATAAATTTAGCATTTGTAGAGTTAAGATAATCCAAAGTCATGCGTCTAATGCCTACAAAACTCTCCACAAAACTGTGAATCTTAAATTCCCATGTTATTTTATGGAGAAATCAACTGTTGTATAGTTCGCTTGTCTATTTATTGACGAATTTACTTATTTCATCCTACGCTATTAACCTAGCAAACAGCTTCCCAGTTTTAGCCTAAAATAGGAATTGAATCTGACATGTTTAAGGAAATATTCGCATAAAAATCCAATGAGACATATGGAAATCTGTGTAATCTTTAGGTGTACTGCGGTTAGGGTACCTTTTCAATTTTGAGGGTATGAAAATTTATTTTTAATGTTTAAGGAATGATAACAATTTTCTATGGCAAGTTAAACAAACCTACCTATAAAAAGTATTTCCCGCGGTTGAGTTTTTTAATAAAAATTTTATTTGTTAACACAAACGGCCTTGTAAATACACATATTTCAGTCTCAAACACAAAAGGTTACATAAAAACCAAAATTGTGTTTATCAATATTTATTAACTTAAAAAAAGGAAAAAATATATATAGTATTTACAATCACACAATAATTAGGGGAAAGAAAATCACATCTATTTTGACTGCCAGAACTTTCCGCTGCCACGGAGGCCTTTGGCTTTGATGCCCTTCTTCATTTTGTCACTGCCTGACGCTGCGGCTTCTCTGGAGTCCAAGTCCAGTCGGCAAGTGTTCATCGGCTCATCTGAGTCTTGAGTTTGGGCCTTCAGAGTCTTCTTGATGTTCACAACCTGCGAAAGAATAACAGTTATGTATATTAGTTGTTTTACTCGTGCTTTGCAATAGGGCGAGGATTTGGGGGAGAGAGAGAAGTGCTTGACAGATCTATATTATTAATATGCTACATGAAACTTTGTAAACAGTAAGGCTTTTTGATTTAACCCCACATATTATATTCCAAAGTTTTCGTCTAGGTGTGTAGATTTGCAAACTGCCCTTACAAATTTTTTAAAGTCCGTTGGGCTCTGCCCCAGTGGCTTTTAAAGTTCTCTTGTTATCCTTATGAAGAACATATTTCATATTTCTTTACATAATACAGGTATTATGTATCTGTCTAATACAGATATGATACATGCAGGCAGTCATGGAGATTGACATTTTAATTGATATACAGATGGCAGCTGAAGTCATAGGGTTATACGAAAATGGAGAGGCCATCCCCACCACGTTCTCCACTGCCCTCGCTGTACCTAGGCCACCAGTTAGACAACCCTGTTTTAGACAGAGCAAATTGACAACATGTCTAGTTATCATCTCTTACCTCAGTTTCAATCACTTCTTTATGCTTAAGTGCTCGATTCTTGTCAGTATTGGCTCTGTTTATCTGTGTTTCGACACACCGCAGCACAGCCTCGCACGAGTCACACCACTCCTGCAGTGTAGCCACTACGCAGCCCAGTGTGTTAGCCTGCGTGTCGCGGCCCAGCGCATAGTCTACCTCTAACTGTTTATTCTTCTGGTCTAGCTTACCATGGATAACATCTGCGAAAACATAAACATGGAGAAAACAATTTAAAAAAAAATGGAGATCTGCTCGAGAATTCGAAGATGGAGCAGGCATCCAACATATTTATTGAAAGAATCAAAATTTTTAGCAATATCTGTAAATTTAGATTCATTTGTCTTGTAATTATCTATATTAAATTATCTTAAAAGGGGAAAAAAAATATTTGTGTATCTTATTATGCAATAATGACTATGTAGTATAGGCCTACAGTAAAATCTCTCTTGGTCGACATAAAGGGGAGGAGTATTTTTTCACTACCTAGGCCCTATTTATTATTTATTTTACAATATCAGTTGAGATCCGGATGCAACTAGGCAAATTTAAACCAAAAAGTAAGTTTATGTTCAGCATTTAAAGCTATGGGAATAAGTTAAATTGTCTAGGTAGCCGAATGATTATAATGCTCAACATCTGATCTGAAGGTCGCTGGTTCGATTCCAAGAGAGATTGTTTCTAAACCCAGGTTTCATTTGTAGCTGAGTTGGGTATACATTATTGATACTATCTAACTAAAAATGTAACGTTAAGATGGTCGTTCCCTTACAAAAACATAAAAAAATGCCACAGACGTACATACACAAAAAAAGGCAATAATTTAGGTTATAACTGGATAATGGGTGTGTTGCTAGCCTAGGGGTTCAATTCCAAACACAACCCACAAAACCGTAATGGGTTTGGACCCCTTTCCCTTAAAGCGTTTGAACTAAAGTTGACTTCTAGTAAAAAAAAAAACTCCACTGGGTAGAACAAAAAAGTTATAATTAATTAACATTTTAGTGATGATAGTTAAAATTTAAAATTATACTTGTAAATTGATTATGAATTTTTAAGCTATATCCAAAGTTTTACTGTTTTTAGAAACAATCAAACAATTTAAACGGCAATGGCAGACCTGGTGTCTACTTCTTTTTACTTGTTTTGGCTACAAAACAACACACAGGCTTGTTTTGGTTGTACTTGGCTACTTGTTTTGGTTTTTTTTTATTATTATTTAGTAAGAGACTAAAAGTCTACCAAAAATTAGTATTTGAGAGAGAGAAAAATGCATCTATAGAAAAAAAATAGTCACATTATACTATGTGTCAGCTGAATAGTTGTGAACATTTTAAAAGACGATTATTACCAGAGGACTATGGGTTTCTACAATGCCTACTTAGGGTACTTAATGGTATAAAATACAAGAGCTACTACATGCACAAGTTTAAAAAAGTAAATATCAGTATTTTTACCTTTTTGGTAGCCTAAGGTGTCCAAATTCTTATCTCTTGCGAGACGCGTTTCGCATTAATTACAATGCATCTTCAGTCGCTGTCACAGGCTTCAACATTGCCCATATAAATGGTTGTCACAGTTTATAAAACATATTAACACAGCCGTACAGTTCACAAAACACATACATATATACAATTTTACGACCATGGTCACACACGTACTGTACAAGCGAGCGGGAGAAGACACGCGATACCGCACAAAGTTGTAGGCCTACTGGTCTGAAGATGCATTGTAATTAATGCGAAACGCGTCTCGCAAGAGATAAGAATTTGGACACCTTAGGCTACCAAAAAGGTAAAAATACTGATAATAAATAGGTGTCTAGGCTAATATCTACAAAAAAGTAAATAGTTATTAACCTGCGTAAATAGCTTCAATGATCAGATCTTCAAGGTCTCTAACATTCCTCATGTCTAATTCTTGAAGTAGCACAGAATAAGGAATGCACTGCAACATAAGAATGGTAATTTGTCAAAGCCACAATTAAATTCTTCAATTTGAAAAGTTTTTATTTTACTGCCAACATTGGACCACTTTAGTTTCATCTTTTGTTTTTGTTACTGGTATGGTAAGATATCTAAACCATTTCAACCCCTAAAGAACCACCCCATTCAAAAAAGAAAAATCCTCTAATCTGAGATAAAAAGTTGTATACACTAATAAATAATACAGTTGTGAATACAAACAAACTTTAAATTAATTTTATGATTGATGGTAAGATATCTGCTAAACCCTTCTGTTTCTCAAAATTGGCTTACGGTAGTGTGACTTGTACCACTATGGATCTTAGAGGCTCATTTGACATTGGGATTCCTCCACTCATTAATTGACTTTAATAAATTGATTAATTAATTGCCGTTAGACGCACCAGACAAAAAAAAGAGTTAGGTGCTAGGACTAAAAATATGTTATTTTTATTCAAAACTAATGAATTACCCTGACGAATATGCTCTTTGAAATAAGTTAAGTTTAATCATAAAAACCGCAAAATAGTTACCGGTATTAAACTACAGTATTAATTTGGAACTCTAGTTAACCCTTAAAAATATATAACTTATTTTGTGTTACCGGTACGTCATTGAGTATATACACCTATAAGAGTGGTCAGATAATGCTAATAGTTGTTACCGATTTTGGCAAATGTAGTTCGGGCCATTGACGCTTGGGTCGCGGTAGTCTGTCGGTAGTGCAGTGCCCCTCTGAGCACATTTCAGGGTGTCCACAGAAATTATCTCATTAATTTCCATGTCCACAGAAATTATGTCATTAATTTCCATGTCCACAGAAATTATGTCATTAATTTCCATGACTATTCAGGACCATTAACTATTGATTTCCATGACTCACGAACTTAACTCAAAAATTATAATATAACGTACACACACAAATAATACTGCCTAGACAAGTTATTTCACAGAAAATACTGAAATATGTATTAACAGATTTAACAATGAAGTACAATAGGTAGGGCCTACAACAATAAACTAATACAAACTCAAAACCCATAAACTAATACAACTGTAAATTGAATTGTCGTACATTTGTGAAAAAATTTGGAAAAATGCTATAATAGTCGGGGTTACAGCCGACTAGATCATTGAAAGGTCCCCTGAAATTCATTCATCATTGGGGATTTCCATTACTTTCCTGACCTTTTGCCTATTTCCATGACTTTCAATGACCAGAATTTTTTCCTATGACTTTCCAGAATGTGGACACCCTGCCTTTTAATCATTTAGTATTAAAAATGTATTATAAAACAAAAAAACCACAAACAAATTGCATCATCAAAAATGACATTTTACAACCTACAATGAAAGCATTAATAAATACCCCCGCCACAGCAAACCTGCAGACTTAGCGAATTTCCATTTGCCTCTTTGGATTTACACTAAAATATTTCCTTAAAAATATCACATTTATTCCCTATTTAAATAGAATCATTTTAACGATTACTTAGGTTTGCTGCAACAGGGAGGGTAAAAAAGTGTTTTTGTAGTAAAATGTTAAGTTAACTGTAGTTTATTAAGAAATTAATGTATTTTCCAAATTTGGAACACTCACAGAATACTTACTAGTATTTAAATTACAATCACTCTGGGGTTTGAAAAAAATATTTTGAGATGGTCATAACTCTTTATCGGCTGTTTGAAATAGTTAATTATATAAAGGCATACCTTCATTCTTGTAGCAAGGGTGACAATTGTAAGATGCTGCAATTTCTTTTTCTCTGCTACATTAAGATCTAAAAGTTGATCCTTGTTTTCCACATACTGCCGGTAAGTTCCATAAGCAAAAAGGTTCAGTGTACGATAGTAGTTAATGTTGGGCCCATTTTCAAGCTGAAACCAAAGTTAAATAAGCTATTTGTAAAAAGGATGGATAAAACAATTTGAAAAACGGTAACTTATATCACTAGGTTGTACGTATCAATTGGTCATAAGAATCAATCCTATGTGATTAATTTAAATATCAACCGTTTAAAGTCTCTTAATCGCCAGTGAAGAAGGATCTAGGGTCTCAGACTGGTTTATGAAATAGCTTAGTATCTGAAGCAAGTTTCAGTATTACTATACCATCATCTCTTCAGAATCTCTAACAAAGTAAATAAGACAGCAGCTAAATCAACTGAACGAGGGGCTATCAACAGAAAACAGCTTAAAAGTGAAAGTGGTTGCTGCAGTAGCTAACTTCCTCTTTAAAAAAATAAAAACACAATCCTGATCACACACAACAAAACAGCATTAAAAGAAGACTTAACACGTTCAGTGCTGACTACGTCAATTGATGTAGTCGCAAAACCAGCGCTCATATCGGCCTACATCAATTGATGTAGTTGCGCAACCCCCACTACATTAGTTCAGTATGAGCTCAACCATTGCCGGGGAACGTTAAAATTTTGCTAGCCTGTAGCTTAGAATTTGAGCTTTATTTGGTGTAGGTTGGTACTAAAATTTCCCGTAAAAACCCGTCTGACAATGCTTTTGTCCCGGTTTCGGGGATTTTCTCTCTTCAAGCCACATTACAAAGCCACTGACTACTGATCCAGGCAGTGCTGCTACCTTTGGGTATTTTAGGGAACTTCGTCCAATCTCGGGGTAACGTAGTACAATCACCGCTGCTCTTTTGTTATTCGTCAGATTGAAATATTTGAATGCCAATTGCGTACGGGGCTTCCGCGCCGCCATTGGCAAGCGCCTGTTGGAGTTCCTGCTGCTCTGAACGTTTTTAAAACCTTAAAAAGACAAACAATATTGCAGGATTAGCTTACACAAATTACCTCTTTAATATTCGGCATGTCCAACAATTCCCCAAAAACAAAGACTCCTGGTGCTGCCAAAACCTGCCTGATAAGCTCCATTGCAGCAGCCCCTTTTGCACTTTTTGCCAACAGCACAAACTGCTCCAAAGGATTGTTGCTAGATGTGGAGCTTGCATTTTTATCAGTTTTGTCGGAAGTCATGGTTTCACAAGTGTCAATTACTCTGTAACAGTGCATGTAAGATAAAAAAATCTCTAAACACTTTTTTCATGTTTGTTTTATGTATTTTTTGTCTATGCCTGTGGCATATCTCAAGGAGTTATAGAGGAGGTACACTAACTCTTTTAGGGAAAGAGAGTCAAATCCAATATGATTTGTGTGTGTGCCGGAAAGGCTAGAAACACCTTTATCTTATATTTCTTATTTTAACTAAAAAATGGCATTGACATTCCTGCATAATTTGAAAAAATTATTGGAGGTTATGTGACACAACACGGAAACTTCTTTGTAACTTTTGTTCATTCTAAATGGACAAGATAACACAATTGTAAACAAAATACAATTGTGACATCCATTTTATTCCTCCCAAAGTTGGTACCGGTATTGGCATTAAATTTCCTCCAAGTTATAAACCATGATCAATTGTTATTACAGAAGAGTCTTGCTATTCCAAACGAACTGAGACCCTACCCTGTTTGGATTAGCGGGAATTTGGGATAAAAGGATTCCTTAACAACTGAACTCGCAATCGTGGTGGAGGACCTTTAAGTGTAGCTGCAATCACAAAATATATTTAGTGTCATGGATCAAGAGAGATGAAGACGATGTTGCAGTAAATGCAAGCGTTGATAATGTTGCTGTGAGGGCTATCCAGAAATTAGATTACGTTTTCATTTGGGTGCGCAAGGGGATAGCACGGCCATCTTGGTGTCAGAGTGTTCTACAACTCAGTCAGCACCTAGTCGTACTAGTAAGAGGTTCACGCTGTACCCTGTTGAGTTACTGTGACATTTTAAAATGTCTGTGTTAATTGCAAATGCTGCAAACTATGATGTGTGTGCATTAATATGGTTTTCAACTACAAAAAACTGAAAACCAATAGTAATCTATCGGCATCTTTGTGAGCGTATGGGGACGACATTATCACTGAAGGTGGAGTGCTTCAGAGGGTAAAAATAAAGTTAAAAAATGGCCGAACCAACGATCATGTTGGAGAGCTAAGTAGAATACGCAGCAAAGCGCCTGCTGAGCTTGTTGAAAAAGTCCAAGCCAAAGTCTGTAAAGGCCGAAAATTCACAATAATGCAACTCTCTACCTGTGAGTTTTCAACATATTTTGCGAAGTTTATTGTGCAAGATCATCACCTAAAAGCTTTTAAGTTAGGTTAGTTACCACAAATTTTGTACAAAATGGATTCCAAAAATCTTGACAGACATCCACAAAAATCAGCAAATGGCTGCAGCAATAATTAATTTTCTGGACACTTAATTGAATAGGCCTAAATTAGCCTAGACTAACTTATGCTACAACTTTTACCAGACCTAGATACAGTTATAAGTTTGAACTTGAATATGAGGCTCAGTGGCATATGCTAGTCAAGTCATTCATCATAGGACTATTGAAGGAGTAAAAATGTGGCAGGCCTAGGCAAAACTTTGGTATCCAACTCAATTGTCCCAAAATTCGCTAAAACCAAACTTCTATCGAATGTAACAATTGATAATCACGATGGAGTGGAGTATTCAGTTTAGCTGATATTTAGAGGGTAGACTTCCGTATCTGTTGTCAAAAACAACCAAATTAAAATATCGATCGATATATTATTTCATTCGATATATCGTTTGGTTAGTGACGTTAAACTACCATAACCTAACCAACCAAACGATAACTTAACTTATAAGTTCTAACTTATATTGAATAAAATAATCGCTATATCGAATAATTTTTCATTCGGTTGTTTATGCCAACAGATACGGAAGTGTAGGCCTACCCAGGCAATATTAATAGTTGGATGGGCTGCACTTTACTTTAGGTCCTACACAAACAACCGAGTAAAAATATCGACTAGGCTATTCGATTGTTTCATTCGATATATCGTTTGGTTAGTTAGGTTAGGTTAACCTTACCAAATAGTTAATCAAAAGATATATCGTATAATCGATATATCGATCGATATTTTCGTTCGAATGAGTGTAGGACCTAAAGTGAAGTGCAGCCATTGGATTTTATTAAATAAGTTAGGGTAATCATACTTAGTACTGTAACCTCCAAACCAGACCTAGGCGTAACTTATGCAGACCTCTTACAGCTTAGTAAATAGCCAATCTTATGTGGGCTAAATAGTTACGTAGGTTAGGTCTATTTAAACAAATTTAGTGATAAGTAATTATTATAGAATTATAGTTAATTAATTAGTAAAAATAATAACACTTTAGCTTTAGACTTGCCTTTTAGGTTATATAAAATTAGACCAAAAATTAATAAGATTAAAAATGCAATAAGATGGACCCGGGCCAAGTTACATGAAATTTTGTGTTAATACTAAATTAAATTACAATAATCACAATAAAACTGCCGACACCAAGCCTATGAATACGATTTATTATTACCTTAGTTTAGTTATTTTATTTTCCTTTACATAGAGGATACGCGTCCGGTAACCGGGCGTGGATAAGGCGTACGGCAATGACGTCATGGGGTTGCGGGAACCTGGAACGCCTTTACTACAACAATACCGTCACCAACCATCGGTGGTCGTGGTGTAGTGGATAAGATGCTCGGCTGATATGCAAGAGGTCCAGGGTTCGAGTCCCATTGGTGACATTAACTTTTTGTCGAAGATTTTGCATTGAATACCATTTATTCTTAACTGTACATCTTTAATTAGAATTTTTGGCATTTATAATTTTCTAATAGAGAAAGAATTTAACCTTAATTCGATTTTTTCATTATCAGCAAGTTTGGTTGGTTAGGTTAGGTTATGACAGTAATTGCCGGACGTCTAATCCACGTCCGGTTACCGGACGCGTATCCTCTGCGTTTCCTTTATTACTCAAACTACTGGAACTCAACTCTCAACTCAGACTCACTCAACAACTCAACTCAACAATCAATCAACTCTCAAACCTCAAACTCAACCAGTCAACAAAACAAACCGGACCGGAACCGACTCAACCAAAACCAAACCAACCAACAAACAATCGTATCAATAGATTTTTCAAGTTCCAGTCCAGCTCCAACTCCACTCGGGATTCAGGAGGACCGGACCGGACTCAGCCTCAGCTCGTCGCTCCACTGATCTGTTCGGGGTTCGGTTCGGGACTCGGGTTCGGTTCGGTAATCGGTTCGGTTTCGGTTAGTATGGGAGTGTGTGTATATGGTTTGGTTATGCCAAATTTAAATCAAGACTTTGTTATTAATTAAAACTAGTATTTTATGCAATTTTACTGTGACCTTAGTATTTTATTAAACTGGTGAAGAAATGAACATCAATAATGGCTGTCGTAATGGTAAGGAAATCAAGTTTTCTATGTTTGCCTATTTCGATGTGTGAGGTTAGTTGAAGATAGGCCTAAGTATGCCCATGTCAAGGCACAAGACAAGAAGAGTACCTAGTTCTAAAATATTGTATTTTCTCCCATAATTTCGTGGCCTAGATCAGCCGTTTTGAGAAGGATTCCTTCGGCAAACTAACTTATATTAGGCCTACATATAAGCCTATCTAGGCAAAGGTTGCTTAAAACATAGCCCAAGTTATTGATAGCCTAGGTATGATTTTTTTTGGCAGCCTAACTTATTACATATTTTTTACAATATCCTACAGTTACTTGACAAAATTGACTTTCTTGCACTGATTATAGCACCCAAAGTGGGTAAGTTACAGTTTCTTAACTGGGCTAGATGCTAATATCGATTGAAACTATTGATTCGATAAGTAAGTTAATACAGTCATGCAATTTTTTCACTATCTGCAAGTTTGGTTGGTTAGGTTAAGTTTTGATACCGTAGTTTAATTTAATAATAGATATATTTAAAAATATTGATTATTAATCAATATTTTCAATTCGATAGTTTCAATTGATATTAGCATAGCCCAGTTGAAACTGTACCCCACAAAATAACTTAGCTGATCTGCATTCCTTACTTTCCCATACTCAATTCGTGTGACCCTGGCAATAACTCAGCATTAATTAGCCTAGTGTGCGCACCTTATAAAATCTATTGCTGACTGTTTTGCGGAAAAATACGGACAAGTAACTTAGGTTATTACTGATAGCCTAGTGTCACCCGATAGAGGACACATTACAAACGGAAACGACAGTAAGTATCATTATCATGTACCTGGAGACTAAGTTAGGGGGGGGGGGGGTAAATGCAGCAATAAGTAGTGCGCGAGACTTATAAAATCTATTGCTGGCCGTTTTGCAGAAAAATACGGCCGAGTAAAACATGTACCCAACTTAGATGATATAGGGTAGATAAATTGTGCAACATACTAGGCCTAAATTACAAGGATGAACACGTGCAAAAATTAACAAGACAGTAACATAATACCTACCTACTAAATAACAATATTAGTACTTATAAAATTATTATTAAGAATTAATAAAAAAAAAACAATCAAATAGAGAAAAAAAAACTGTTGTTTGGAGTTAGAATTATAACAGGTCACTGGTTTATATTTCCCTACATGTTAATTGCATTGCAAACGCAGTGGAGAGCGTTTGATTAAATCAGTTCAAAATTAAATTAAAAATACAGTAGGCCTACCTATTTACTGGCAAATCCCCTTTGTGTAGGATGGGCCCACAGCTAGTGTTTTTATCTATTGTTTGTTTAGGTATAAGACTTTAAGAATACCGTACATTATAGGCCTACATGTTTTTATATGGGTACAAAAACATGTAGCTAAGTGTAATAGGCCTAGCTAAATTTGTAGCTGAGTGGTTATAGTGCTTGCCTAACAATCAAAAAAGTTGTGGGATCGATCCTGAGAAAAGTCAGTACGGTAGTATTTTAGTGGCTCAAAACTGGACCCAGCTGTTCCTGATCATTGGGCCTTTGATGAATTATCTTGGATAATTAAACAGCTGATCTTAGTCAGTAAAAAAGCTACCTATATAGATCATCTCACCCCATTCTATGTCATCCTTCACTCATATTTGGGTTAAAGCCCATGGCGCCCCACCTCAATGATTGAATGATAACTTCTAATACATTTGGAATAATTTTGTCATTTTGTTAACTAATTTCAACTGTTTTCCCCTTTTTAAACCTAATCAAATTTTCTAAGTTTTGTTCATGGGAAATAAAATCTTTGAACCAAAAACAAATCTATGACCACTTTCACATTTTATTTTTTAGTTTATCTATTTATTAAATGCATCAAGTTATACTATTTGTCATGCACAGAAGTAGGTTACTTTGAATACCAAATAAACTGTGGTACAAATTTGGGGACTCTACCTGTAATTCTTTCCAAGTTATTCAAAAGTTTGTTTTAAAACACGAAAAAAAATAATTCACAGGAATCAGTGTTAATTTACAAAATCTATCTTGGCCTAATTCAAATTCATAGGTACTTCACAACTCCCCAACTCCATTTACAGTAGGCCTACATCACTTGATTGTGAGATGTGGAATCTCTAATGCTTATAAATTATTGCAGTAATAATTCAGTAATTATATATACAGTAATGAGCATGCCTGTATTCAGGTTTTGCTGACAAGGAAAGCTGCATGTAATAAATAAAGCTTACTATAGCTGTGAAAGTTTGGCTCTTTGCCAGCTTATTATTGCATCCCAACATTCCTGACACAACTTTGTGTGTGTTTGCTTCTCACTGCTTGTGCATCTTATTGCAGTTCTAGATTATCACTTTGCTTTTATTACTTTTGAGATAGTTTGTACTAATACATTGTAAGTATGTGCAAGTGTGTAAATTAGTTGGCAGTTGTACTGTTTATAAATAGACTGCAACAATGGCTTTGATAATGTAAATTTGGAAAGAATTAGCCTAAGTCATTTAAGTGTCTGTCAAAGTTTGTAGAGACTGTGTACGTGTTCATATAAACTATAGACTGTAGATTATCTCGAAAGTCGATAATGTTGTTTAACCTCTTATGTGTGAAATGTTTTTATTAATGCTATAATGCAATTTCAGTTAGATACCAAATACATTATTGATTAACATAGGTACTTTGTTGGTTCTTTTATTATTAGTATACATGTACCTAAATATAATCATGTAGCCTAATTACATCATACAATACTTCTTGACATATATTTACATTTTGCACTATAAAAATAAACAAGAAGATAAAGATGTAAGAAGATAAATCAGTTTTGCTGCTCTAATAAAAATTAAGGGTTTTGCTACAAATTTACTGAATTTTCTCATATAAGTAGGGCAGTGGCCTAGAAAAAATAAAGATAAAATGGAGAAATAGAATCCAGTTTGGTTATTATTCTTTTTTTAATACTACTTGTATTTTGATTTCAATTTAAAATAAAAATTTTTGAAATAAAATAAAGAAGTACCTAAAAAACTCATTTTATAAAACAGTTACTAACTTTTACAAGGTACGGTAGTAAAACTATTTCACAAAAATATAAGGACCAGGTTTTATCAATAGTGTCTAAAAGACCCATGCATTTCCTGTGTCATGATTATCACCAGCGCCCACATAATTACACGGTTCATGCACATGACACTGTTTGCTCAATACCTATCAGTTTTTGGCTTGTTATATAGACCTACTAACCCTACACCTCAATTGGCCCATTCACTCATGGACCCAGGTAGAAAGATCCAATACTTGTTTTATTAGTTGTATTTTATTTAAAAAATATATTGCTAACCATCTTTTTACATTTTTAATAATTTGTATTTTAGGCCTAAACTTAAACAGAATCACACATTTTACCACAACTCTCAATTGGGTTTGTTTCTCATGTTTTAGCTGCAATTGCATTTTGTTTGAACAATTTTGTAAAATTAGTCTGTGGGTTGTCTTTAGGTTCTTCTATGTTAAATTTTTTTTTGCTATTTCCATATACAATTAGTCAGAGTTCTCTACCACTGTTACGACGTAGTTGTTGTAGCCTCTACTTAAGTTTAACTTCATAAATAAATTTTTCAAAATTAAATTGATTTTCCAGATTTTATTTTTTTTCTCTTACACTTTAGATGACAAACATGGCTGTCTGTTAGAGTGTTCTGTTAACGTTTGCTAAACTCTAGTTTTTTTTTTGTAGGCTTATTGTGAACATTTTCTATTACTTAAACAACTTCCATGTGATGGTTCGTCAGATAAGCTGCTTTACTAATCAGTTAACCAGAGTTATGATCGATCGTGTTGTACCTAGTTACAATATGTAAATCTCTTCTACAGTATTTATAATCCTTTAAAATAAACTTATTACTGGAAATAAATTTTGACAAATACCATCTGTTTTGAATTAATTTTTACGTTTTGTCATGGAATACTTTCTGGCTAAGTACATTCCTGCAGTTGGTTTACTAAGTGTAAATGACCTTGACCTACTATTATAAACAACAAAGCTAAGAACTGCTTCCTGTTGTTGTTATGGTGGTAACAAGGAAGCTGACACATCATTACTGTGTTGTGACTTCTCAACACTGTCACTTGGGTATCTTTGTAAATCACTCAGTGACATCTTATCACATATAGGAGAACAGAGTAATTTCAGGTAATTTAAGGTAATATAATTCTAGATTTTACTTAAAGAAGTTTTAAGTAGGCTATGTAATTGTAATAATGCTCTAACACAATCTACATTGTTAAGGATTGTCTGGTTGTATTTTTATTTGGTTTCCTTGATTTTAGTAATTACTTGTTTTTGTTTGGTTTTGAATTTTGAAATTAACCTAAAATTTATTTTTGATTTTTTACTGCCACTTATGTATTTTAAGACCTGAGGCAAGGCAAGTAACCTGCAGCCAATTAGACTCGTGTAAACAGGAAGAAGTTTTTCTTCTGATTTGTTTTGTTGTTAGCTTTGTTTTTAAATTAGGGCCTATACATCATTAGTAGCGCCATAAATTTTAGCTCATCACCAGATAATATAGCAGAGTAGTTGATTGGTTGTAGCGTTTGTCTAGTAATCGTGATGTTGTTGATTTGAAGGTGGGCTTTAAACAAATTATCGCGACTAATGAAACAGTTGGCTTTTGACCCAAAACATCTCCTCCTTCCTATATTTGCATTCAATTTATTTTCATACACCGTTGTATTTCCATCTTTAAGATTTAGTAATTTATTTGTTACTCAATATTACACTTTGTTTCAGGAGATCTTCTCCGGGAGGTTTGCTCCAGTGCTATGGAAGCAACAGGTAAACTAACATTCTTTTAGCGAATTTCCCATATAGGGAATAAGCTATTACCGTAGTACTCATGGTAAGACCTGGACCCGAGACAGATTTTTTTTTTCGTTTTGAGGTCCCTAAAGGTCAAATACACCATCCGTTCAAATTCATATACAGGGTGTTCATTTGAAAACTTTCCATATCTGTTGTGTGCAAAGGTAAGGCTTTTAACACTTGTTTGTTCTCATTTCCCCCTAATTTGGACATGCCAAATCCAATAAAATTATTTTCAATTTTGAAAAATGCCCCAAAAGGGCCCAATTTGGGGGGTAGGGGTGCTTTTTGAGAAATTTTCAAATGTAAACATGGGTTGTGTGATACATCAATTTAAAGGTCTAATCACCCCGATCATTTTGGTGTAAAAAAAGGTTAATTATCTTTAACCGTATTTACAGGGTGGGTCAAAACGTTTTAAAAAAGGACTTTGAAGTTAAGTACCGTATTACCCTAACTACTGAACGGAACAGCGCCAAATTTATTTCCAAGCTTATTCTTGAGCTACTCTTTAAGATAACTTGTAGTAAGGGCATTTTCCAAGTTATTTTCTAATTTTTAAAAAATCTCAAATTTTAAGAATAAAAGAAAGCTGAAAACTCAAAATTCTTAAATAGCAAGGTATAACAAATTTCATACCACGTGAAAGGTCCTTTTTTAACAAACATTTTACGTATTTAAGTTTTCTTTCTATCTCTTACCGTTTAAAAATTGCAGTGGAAAAACATAATTTTCCATGGTAAAATTATAACTAGTTTTCTAATAAAACACATTGCACTTTGTTCAACGATGTAGTAGGATTCATAACAAATTGATCGACTACTTTTACGTGTGTCAGAATTCATCTTGGACCCTTCATCCTGTTCTTTTCTCATTGGTAGCTGAGCCAGTTTCAGAAAACTTCCTAACTAAATCATTTACAGCCATATGACTCAAGGTTATACCTGGATATCTATTGTTAAACACTTTGCAGTTATCCTGGAACACTTTTGTTATGACCAATAAGTAAAATAAAGTATATTTTTTTAAGTTTACACCATATTTGATTAGGTACTACAGGAAATGGTACTTTTGAAATTAGTACTACCATTGACTAGTCAATGGTACTACAGAAAGCGGCCCACGCTTGGGTTTTTCTCATCAGCTATAAAACTTGTTTCTCACAAAGTAAAACGTAATGACTTGTTTGCCTATCTGCCTAAAAATAATTATGAATTGTTTCCTTCAGTTATTGCACCATTTAATGTGTCTAGAGACGAATTTTGGCTGTTTTATTAGAAAACTAGTTACAATTTTACCACAGAAAATTATGTTTTTCTACTGCAATTTTTAAACGGTAAGAGATAGAAAGAAAACTTAAATACGTAAAATGTTTGTTAAAAAAGGACCTTTCACGTGGTATGACATTTGTTATACCTTGCTATTTAAGAATTTTGAGTTTTCAGCTATCTTTTATTTATAAAATTTGAGATTTTTTAAAAATTAGAAAATAACTTGGAAAATGCCCTTACTACAAGTTATCTTAAAGAGTAGCTCAAGAATAAGCTTGGAAAGAAATTTGGCGCTGTTCCGTTCAGTAGTTAGGGTAATACGGTACTTAACTTCAAAGTCCTTTTTTAAAACGTTTTGTCCCACCCTGTAAATACGGTTAAAGATAATTAACCTTTTTTTGCACCAAAATGATCGGGGTGATTAGACCTTTAAATTGATGTATCACACAACCCATGTTTACATTTGAAAATTTCTCAAAAAGCACCCCTACCCCCCAAATTGGGCCCTTTTGGGGCATTTTTCAAAATTGAAAATAATTTTATTGGATTTGGCATGTCCAAATTAGGGGGAAATGAGAACAAACAAGTGTTAAAAGCCTTACCTTTGCACACAACAGATATGGAAAGTTTTCAAATGAACACCCTGTATATATATATATATGTGTCCGTTAGCGCGATAACTGGAGCAAAAATGATCCGATTTTGATGAAATTTGGTACAAACGTGTGAACCTACGTTTATTCGAACGAGTTCGCGAACCAGCATGATCGGACCATGGGAACGGGGGTTTATGGGGGCTTTTATGGGGTAAAAATGGGTTTTTCCCATTTTTGACCCAAAAAACATAAAATTTTGCAATTTCTTTTGAAACTATTTTGTAGAGCTTAAGAAAACAAATAATTTAGTATATTGAAGCGTTATAATGCGCCTAATGGTTACGGAGAAAATTCCAAAAAATTGTAAATTTAAAATTCCCATGTTATTCTTATGGAGAATAAGTAAACTGTTGTAGTTTGCTTGTTTATAAACATATTTTGCCCAAATTTGGAAAATGTTTTAAATTTATTTCTTACTAACTATTAACATTTTACATAAAAAACACTTTTACCCTCCCTGTTGCAGCAAACCTAAGTAACTTATGTTTTAAACTGATTCTATTTAAATAGGGAATAAATGTGATATTTTTAAGGAGACATTTTAGTGTAAATCCATTCAGGGAAATGGAAATTCGCTTAGTCTGCAGGTTTGCTACGGCGGGGGTATTTATTTTGTTAAACAATTACCTCTTGAATCTATTCATGATACTTGTCAAAATAAATCTCCTATAAACATATGTACCTACACATATACATAACCTTGCCACTCTCTTGTTGGCTGTGAGCCGACATCGGTTGTTTCCCACTCGTAACACAAATGTCGGCTTTAAAAAAATTCTATTTTTTAAATTAAATTTTTTATTATTTATTGTAATAAATAATGGTAGGCTTGTAATAGATTAAACCTATGGCATGGGCCCTTAAAATACAAGTGGAAAGGGCTAAGCATAAGTACCTACCGGTAATACATTTCTTATTTTCTCTCACTTCAAGGCCAGCCAGTACATTCTAGTACGATATGGTCACTGTTCATAAACTTTGCGTACTATGCAATTAATTAAACATTCGGAAATGGGTGTTGATTATAATCATCATCACTTTAACAATGATTTGCATAATTTTCCGCATTATCCGACCTTTCCATTTATACGATCTTGTCATTGGCTTAGGTAGAATAATCGAATCTCTTCTGTATGAAAATTGAATAATTGAGATTTCCTTGAAGAGAAGAGACAAAGGTAAGAGGATGTACTGTACTATGTTGTGTTGTAGGTTACAAAGTGTTCAACGACAGTGTGCACGGTCACATCACTCTACACCCGCTGCTGGTGCGAGTGGTCGACACTCCGCAGTTCCAGCGTCTACGCAACATCAAACAGCTGGGACCTGCCAACTACGTGTTCCCCGGTGCTAGTAATTGCCGCTACGAACATTCACTCGGGTATGTAGGTACCCCTGTCTCACTAAGTCTTCCTATGAAACTGTACTAACAAATTAACATTGGACCCTACCAATATCGTATTGTAGTAGATTTTCTTTGCATTTTTAATGTTTGTTAAGCTATAAAGTAGTGCTTTAAATTTATTAGCATGAATTAAATGGTTGTTCCTTAACATAGCAAATTCTCCATTTAGTAAGCTATTACCGTACTGTAAGTCTCATAGTAAGACCTTGCCCCGGGAACAATTTACTTTTTCATGTTGATGTCTCCAGAGACCAAAAACATCATCCGCTCAAAATATATGTTGGTTAAGGCAACTACTTGAATAAACATCATCCAATTCTGATCAAATTTGGTATAAAATGTGTTAACAGTAGGCCTACCTACATTTATTTGAACAAGTTCGTGAACCAGCATGCTCGAACTACATGGTAATTAGGTGGTATGAATGGTATGAACCCATTTTTACCACCGAAACATAAACTTTTGCAATTTCTTTCCAAACTAGATTGTAGAGCTTAATATAAAATCAAACAATTTAGTGCATTAAAGGGTTGTTGTATGCCTTACAGTTACAGTGAAAATGCAATAAAAATGTAAATTAAAAATCCCTATGTTAATCTTATGAAGAAAAATAAGTAAAAAGAAACACTTTTTGTTCAAACTTTTATATATGTATGTAAAATTATATAATGTAAATGATAGAAATCTTTTTGTATTTTATTTCAATAGATTATCGCAATGCAAATGACGTGTACGAGAATTGTGGACAGTCAGAGTAGCCTATTGCCTCGCACCAAATTATAGATTAATCTCCAAAACAGATGTAATCCTAATAAATTAACGATTACAGTTGAGTGTAAGCAGTGTGTAGTTTGACAGCAATTTTCCACACTAAACAATGAAGATGAATTTGATGTTGCAGCACCTGCTACCTAGCTGGTCAGATGGTAGAGAAGTTGCTGGAGAGAGAGCACAGGAGTAGGACAGCAGAGGAAAGACAAAGGTTGACGCTGTGTGTTCAGTTGGCTGCCTTGTGTCATGACCTGGGCCATGGACCGTTCTCTCACACGTGGGAACAAGTCACCCAACGGTGGGGCGACCCCTGGAAGGTAGGTTTGTAAAGTGCCGCAATCGTTCTCATAACTGATCATTTGAGCCTTTTGAAATGGTGACCATACAAAGTAAACTGTATTTTAAGCCAAGTATGAATGGATATGACTAGATGAGTAACTCTGAGCCAAGTATGGGTCAACTTCAATTTTCCTCATATTATCGTTGATTGTTTCTGTTGGTTAGTAGTTGGAAAATTGAATAATATTTTGCCGAAGAGCTGGTATTTAGAGCAGACGACATCGGAATATAAAACACCACCTGATTGGCCGTTTGGCTGAATTTATTTTCAAAAGGAAATACTCTGAATACAAAGAAAGTACGTTTTCAACGGTCATTCCACCTTTGTCTATCAACAAACTGAACCTGTGGATCCAAACACAGATTCTCACATAGACGACTATTAAAGTTCAACATTAATTCTCTTTACCTGTACCATATTAATATCAAATTCATTTAGCATTTTCTTTATAATCCTAGAGGTTGGTTAACAGTTTTAATAATGTATCTTTATTAGATTGGTTTGTTATTTACTACATTTTTTTGTATCAGCATGAAGAAGCATCAATCAAGATGTTTGATTCACTGGTAGAATCAAATGATCTGGTTGGGATATTTTCTGATCATGGCCTCAAACAGCTTGAACGAAGAATCATCAAGGAGTTGATCATGGGAGGTCCCCCAGATGGCAATCCTCCTCTTCTTGGACCTGAGGACAACTTTTTGTATCAAGTGAGTTGTAATTTTGAAACATATGAATGTTCTGAATACATTTAAATAAAAATTTAAGTTGTAAGTATGTGTAGTACCATAGACAAAAAGAATTAAACATAGACCGTCAGCTGTGCTGCGGTTACCATAGGTTCTGGCGCACACCGCTTGGAGCACCACGGTAGTTACGGCGTACGCGCTACGTAAACTACAGCGGTGTGCGCCGGAACCTATGGTAACCATGGCAACCGCAGCACGGCTGGTAGTCTATATATAATTCTTTTTGTCTATGGTAGTACTTAGTGGTTAGCAGATTGGACATAAGTGTGAAAGTGTGGGTTTAGTGCTATTCCCATAAATATAAGGGTCTCCTCTATACCCTCTCCCTTGGATTGCCGTTTATGTTATTAACTCTATTTTTGTAGAATAAACTGTGTTTCCAAAATTATTCCAAAATTAATAAAGTCTCAGAGCAAAAAAACAAAACATGGTGTTTTTAATTTGCTAGTGGCTATACTGGAATGTATGAGCAACGGTGTCTTTGTTATTTTTAAGTATACATGTCACTTTTATGGTCAGCTGATAGGAATGGTTTAGTGATGTCAGTCTTCTCTCCTACTGCTCCCACATCTGGCCTAGTCTTTACCCAGCGATAGCAGCGCACCTAGATTCTGGTTTAGACTAGCAGATTCAAGCGCACAATTTTTTATGGCTCAGTGTGAGTTCTGGGTATTTTATTCTGTCTTCATACGCATGTGGCAATCTAGACTATCAAAATCTTAACCAAGCAGTAAGCACATCCAAACAAGAGGGGTTCTACTGTTATTGTATGTCAGTTTTAGTTTATCAACAGTTTTTAGTTAACAGCTTTATCTTTGCTGTCTCTAGAATCTTAAGTGAAATCTGACCCATGACTTGTGCTAGATAGTGTCTAACAGAGAGACGGGAATCGATGTGGACAAGTGGGACTACTTTTTGAGAGACGGACTTCATCTCAATCTTAGCATCACCTTCAACTACCGTAGGCTGCTGGAGTTCTGCACTGTTGTAAGTAAATTTGTTATTTATTTGTCTACTAGCAGAGTACCCGTCCTTCGTACAGGGTTGGAATATAAGTATAAAATGCTTATTGCAGTTATACTCAAGCTTTGCGATTGCAATGGGCGGAGGACACAGTTTGATAAAATTTGTTTTTTTAAATTTACAGTATTCTATAGTATTACACATCTACCATAGCCATAATGTTCTACCATTTTACCTAAACAATAGAGAAAAATAAATTATCAATTCGCAAAATATCACAAATTATTCATGAAATGAAAAACATATACATAACTGTAAACAATCCTACTTTGACAGTTCTCATTGCGAATCACAGTTTTTTGTTGCTGCTTAGTTCAAATTAGCTGTTTTCATAAATGCAAAAAAAATATAGTGCTACACCCTGTTGATAAATCTTATAACTTTTTAATGCTTTTCCATATCATAGAACCAACTTTTTTAGTTGAAACAGCTGACTAAATTCTTTAATTCCCTTTAAATATGAATACTCATAAGGTTAACATGGGGAATTACAGAGCCACTGGGGCGGAGCCCGAAAGGATTTTTGAGATAAGAATATGCCTATATGTTAATCGGGAATGTAAGCTATCATCATGCCAAATTTCAGCCCAATCCGTCCAGTGGTTTATGCGTGATTGAACTTCAAACAAACAAACAAACACACAAACTTTCACATTTATAATATTAGTAAGATTGGTTTTAGCTCATTAAATATGTTACAGTGGATGGAAATATTTTATCTCTAGCTCATCTAAATCAAAACATTGTTCTCTAAAAAAAATTTTGTAAGCTCAAAAAGTTGGTGTGGTTATATTTTAGTTTTCTGTCAACCGATCCTTTAACCCTTTGTGTGCTGTCGCGTCTCGCTCAGAGACATTGCTGTAACTTGAGTGCCAAGCGTCTGGTAATGAGAATGCCGAGCGCCTCGTAACAAGATGGCCGAGATTGCATGAAAAATGCCAGCTTCGAATGGAAATCACTTTTTTTTATAGAATCATATTTCAATAAAACTGGCTGTGGTTCACACCAAAGGCAGCTGAAGGAGGTCGAAAAATGTGGTCACCCAATAAAAACCGATTACACATCAACCAATACAAGATTGCTTTACACTTCTAGTTAGTTCCGTTTGTATATGCTTCAATAAATATTGGTTGTTTGCGATTTGTTTTGTTTTAACTGCAGGTTATAGTTGTAAATAATTGTGAGATACATTTCAAACCTTTTAAAATAGACAAAACATATTGGTTTTTATTTTACTGATGGTTATGCATAGGGTATAAGCTATTACTATAAGTCTCATGGTAAGACCTGGACTCGATACTGATTTACTTTTTGTTTTGATGTGCCCAGGAGGCCAAAATAACAGCCGTTCAAATTCATATTAAATATATGTCCGTTAGCACGCTAACTCCAGCAGGAATTATCCAATTTTGTCGAAATGTGACAAAAAAGACGATCCTGCAAGCTCACAGGATGGAGCTCTAAATTAGCAAATGTAGTTTGAGCTGAGCTTTTGCGATTGCCCAGAACAGATCAGCAAAGATAGTGTGATTCAAAAGTTCACCCTCTGCCGAGTTTTCAGACTAGACTTTACGTTTAATAAAAGTAAAGGTTTGATGTCTGGTCAGTTAAAAAGCTAAATGTCCATGATAATTCTTATCAATAGTGATCAGTTAATAATATTTGTAGGTGACACTTCCCAGCGATGGTAGAACACACATTGCGTTCAGAGATAAAGAGATAACGAACCTATACAACATGTTCCGAACACGCTCGGCCCTCCATCACACTGCGTACAAACACCGGGTAGTGCTCAACGTTGAACTTATGTAAGTATTATTGGGATCACTTCAGCCTTAACTGTAGGGGTATGTGGGTTTGTACGTAAGTACGTAAATTAAAGTTTCCAAAAAGTTGCAGTCACTGCTGAGCAACACCAGAACCTGTGTTCTTTTTTTCCTCATTACTATTCTATCCACTCCCCTACCCTACCTAGGTGAAGATGTTTTTGTTGTCCCAGGACGTTAGGCACAAGCCCGGCGTAAGTCGGATGCTTATAGGGTGGCTAGGAGGTATCTTCGTCGAGCCATCAATCGGAGTAAACGCAGTTGCTGGGATAAATTAAGGGACGATGTTGATTCCAACCCGTGGGGCCTGGGTTACAAACTTGTAACCAAGAAACTTGGAACCCGCTCTCCACCTTCCGTCATGGACAGGGTCACTATGGAGAGGATAGTCGAGTCCCTTTTCCCGGCTCACTCGTTGCACCCACTGCGGGATTATGGAAGGGTGGACGACGTCCCACTTTTCAGCCCTGAAGAGCTGGTGGCGGCCGTCATATCCCTGAAGAACAACAAGGCTCCTGGTCCCGATGGGGTGCCCGGTGAAGTCCTCAAGAAGGTTTTGACTACCAACCCCTTGATCCTTTTGAGCATGTATAACGCCTGCCTGGTCGAAGGGGTTTTCCCCTTGTGCTGGAAGACAGCTAGGCTTGTGCTTGTTGGGAAGGGCAAGGGAGACCCAGATCTGCCATCCTCTTACAGACCTCTGTGTATGTTGGATACGGCTGGCAAAGTCCTCGAGAAATTGATCCGTTCCCGGCTAAATTCAGCCGTTGTCGCTGCGGGAGACCTCTCCCCTCGTCAGTATGGATTCAGGATGGGGCGATCAACGATTGATGCGATTGAGGAGGTGAAGCAAGCCGTGATGAGAGCTGAGGATTTTACCCACTACTCTCGCAGGGTTGTGCTGCTCGTAACGCTCGATGTGCGAAATGCATTTAATTCAGCGAGGTGGTGCGATATGCTGGATGCTCTGGAGAACACCTTCCACGTGCCGGCATACCTCATGCGCATCATAGAGGATTATCTCCGGTTTCGCCTCCTAACGTATGACACTGCGGAGGGCCCGCGGACGATGAGTGTCACTTCTGGTGCTGCCCAAGGTTCCATACTCGGCCCAGACCTCTGGAACGTCGCTTATGACAGCCTTCTGAGGTCTGAAATGCCTGAGGAAACAGTCTTGGTTGGGTACGCAGACGACGTTGCAGCTTTGATAGCTGCACGTAGCGTTGAGCTGGCTCAGCTAAAGCTAAACCGAGTTATAAGTACCATAAACGCATGGATGGCAGACCACGGTCTCTCGCTTGCTCTGAGCAAAACCGAGATCGTGATTTTGACAAAAAAACGGATTGACACCATCGTGCCGTTGAGGGTGGGAGCCGTCGAGGTTCAAACTGTTCGTTCTGCCAAGTATCTTGGGGTCATGGTAGACAGCAAGCTTAGCTGGCGGGATCAGATCTTCCGTACAGCGGACAAGGCCGCTAGGGTGGTTTCTTCTCTTAGCCGGTTGATGGCCAATGTCGGAGGGCCTCGGTCCAGTCGTAGAAGGCTGTTAATGTCTTCGGTCCAGTCCGTACTCTTGTACGGTGCGGAGGTGTGGGCAGACGCACTAAATAAGGAGGCATACAGGATGTGGCTCGCCCGAGTGCAGCGTCAGGCAGCACTGAGGGTAGCATCTGCCTACCGAACAGTGTCCGAGCCCGCCGTCCTGGTGATTGCTGGAGTCATCCCCGTCAAACTTTTGGCGGCAGAGAGAAAGGCAATTTACCGGCGCCGTGGGGAGGACGAGGCACGAACAGAGGAACGCACCCGCACCTACCAGCTGTGGCAGGAGGGCTGGGAACAGGAGACACGGGGACTCTGGACCAGGCGACTGATACAGCAAGTCCAACCTTGGGTTGATCGGCGGTACGGAGAGGTGGACTTCTACCTCACCCAATTTCTGACGGGACACGGCTTTTTCCGGTCGTACCTGTTCAGGATGGGCAAAGCCGTGTCACCCGACTGCATATACTGCCCAGGCATTCTCGATGACGTGGAACATACATTTTTCCGCTGCCAGCGCTGGGAAAGGCCCCGCCTGGAGGCTCAACAATTAATAGGACTGCTGTCAGTGGACACGGTCATACCGATTATGACGGAGGGTGAGGACAATTGGACCTGTGTGTCACATTATATCCAGGGTATTCTCCGCGCCAAGAAGATCGACCTTGACCGGGATGCGGTTGTAGGTCATTAAGAATCGAAATGCCAGAAACGGTGCGAGCCCTGAGGGCTTAGGTCACATGTTGGCCTGACTTGAAGTAATGTGACAAACAATTCCAGGTCTGTGTCCAACAGAGTAGAGGGGGTTTTTTAGTGAGTAGTCTGACAATTTTCAGGAGCCTCACACTACAGGCTGGCTACCTGTGTGCGTAAAAGCATTTTCCCTCCTCTCCCTAAAAAAAAAAAAAAAAAAATATCAACATTATAAACTCGGTAGTATATTTATAGTTTTCATTATACAATTTGTCTTCATCTGTGCCATAAACTAAATCTTAGTCTAAGGTAATTTTAAAACCAACTATTTCCATTTTGTGGTTATACAGTAGACCCCCTCTTAACCGACCTCGTATTAACCGATAATCGGATTATCCGCCTTCGATCTTAAAATAATACAGTTTGTTTTAACCGACCTTGCTTTGAGAGCAGCTCGGTTTAACCGCCGCTTTCTAGGAATCTCGGAATTTCCGCTCCCACGCTGGGCGATGAGAACTGAACTATACGCTTATCCCCACAGGATATGACTAACAATAAGTTATTTTGTGTTGATTACAAAAAATATAGCATAGCCTATTGTCAGTTTGTCATCATTGTTCGTAGCTCAAGCACATCTGATCTGATTTGTTATCTGTGCGGCAAATTTATAACATCATAAAGTGCGTTACGATTTTGAGAACTGATTATCTTATCGCCGGAGTAAACAAACAACGCAACTTGTAGGGAAGGGGGGTTAACAACTCCAAGGTCAAGATAGTTTTTGTGCCTCGAGCCTCCAGTGAGAGGCTATAAAAAAACGTCCTTTCTTGTAACAAAATGGTCGCTTGTATCTTTAATGACGACAAAAGGTTCTTTACTGTATTACGATGTATTTGGAAAGCATTAATACATTAGTAGTAAAGTTATTAAAATAGGAATTTTATTGACTCTTGCCTAGTATTATAATATATTCACTATGAAAGTAGGCCTATTTGACTTAACTGTGTTTTGTATTTATTTGTGACTTTTCTATCAAAATGAAAAAGGAAATAAGAGTAGTTTATTTAATAAATAATGCAAGTATGACTTCAAAATAATGATTATATAATTCCAAAAGAATAGCACTTCATTGTGTTCTGATTTTAGGGATTGCCCATTTTATCCGACCTTTTGAGTTATCCGACCTAGGTCCGGTCCCATTATGGTCGGTTAAGAGGGGGTCTACTGTATTTCCATTTCTTGAACTTCATTGGCCAAATTTGTTTCACGGTTTTTCTATTGGTTGTCAAATCTGATTTTATGTTAAATATCTATTTAAAATGAAGTATCTATATCTAACTAACTAACTAAGGTATATTTTCAGGACTGTTGATGGATTCGTTGCAGCTGGTGAAGCAGGCTACAAGATCAACAATTCAGAGTAAGTAGCTGTCCAACAATAATCAGCTGTTGGACCAGTGCATTGATTTAAAACATTCAGGTTCTTAGGAAATTTAATGCAATATAAATTTAAAAAATATTTTCATAAAATAATTTTAAAAACTATTTACAAAACAATTCATTCATGATAGATACATTGAACAAAAGTTAAGTGTTAACTCTAATAATAGACGCACAAACCTTTCAACATTATTACAGAATAATGACCTACGCCAAAACTCTCACCGAGCTTCTGATATCGACTACACCAAAGTATTGGTACGCTGTCACTGGTGGCGACTTATGCACATTGGAGAAACCCGTTTCATGAAACCGGTTTTAGCAAACTTAACAGATAGATTATATTAACATGGAGCTGTGCACACTGCGTTGGATAAAATTGTAATTTCATAGGTTTCTTACAACTGGGTTGTATGAAATCCAAAAAACTTATTTCGTATAGGCTTCAGTGTTTCTAGTGGTGTTATGTACTTGGATGTGTTATTGTTATGTTTTTCTTAGAGGTAACCTGCAGTTGGTATCTTTCTTTGTTATTAGTGGGCTAAGTAATTCCACCAAACGTTCAAAAAAAGACTTTGACGAAGAATTCATTGGTCTACCCAACCACCTATTTCAAACGGTATATGAGCGTCAGCTTTTTCTCAAGTCAGGATCATATTTTGTTAACAACTAAATCCCATGATTAATTACTGCTGTGTCCTGCTTAAAACTATCATAATTTTTTAAAGGGTATTTTACAACTGTAATGTTTAGTAAATTTTATCAAACAGGATTGTGAAAATATTACTAAATATCCTAAAACTTCTATTTTGTTGATCATCTTTGTGTTTTTACAGAATACTACTGAAGGATGCGCACAAAAGGCCAGAGTCTTTATGTGAAATGACTGATCACCTTTTCTTTGACATTCTCTACACCAGAGATCCAAAGTTGAGTTCAGCTCAAACAACTTTTAAAAGGATTTTTCAGAGAAAACTCTACAAATTTGTTGAGAAAATCAACATTCAAATTCAAGGTGGAACTGTGAAAGAGAGACAGGTCTGTCCAATTTTTACAAGTTAGTGTCTTTGAACTTAGATTAACAACTATAGTTCGGCCGCTTAGAAAACGACCTGCGCGCTAATGCTAAACCAATGCTGGAGGAGGTCGCTTTCTAAGCGGCCGAACTATAGCTTGATCTTTACATCACATTGCCAAGTTAAAAGTCAAGTTACAGCTGATTATACCAAAAGTAGTTGAATTGATTCATATATGGAGTGAGCTGGTATAAATAAGACTATTTTTTTTCTTTACACACATATGCAACTGATAAAACTGGATATTCTTTTTTTTTCATCAGCTACCATGGTATAATCCATCTTAGTGAGGAAATAGTTATTTGTGTATCTAGTGTGCAAAGTGGAACTTTGCTGCACATGAGAGAAATGTTTATAGGTCAGGCACTTTGCATTTTCGTTACAGATTAATTTTTCCTACAGCTACTATAAAGCATATAAATAATTAGTCTTTCAAACGGTATACAACTCGTTTTTAGGCTATGTCAAATCCAAGCGTTGAACGAAATGGGAAACGCTGCACCAGCTGATCGTAGTCGTAGTATCTTTAAGTTTTGCTAACTTATTTTCAAAATGAGTGCGGCAAAAGTAAGTAAATGCAGCAATTAGTTACTTTGTGATCAGTGCAAGGCAGCCCGCTTTGTCTGGTAACTGTAGGAATAATATATTTATCAAGTACAACAACTCATCTGTATGTGCTGATTGAGTTTTGTTGTTAAATAAATCAAGAGACTGCAATCTCCTAACAAAATACAATGTAGCGTAGCTATACATTTAATATATAACACAAATTAAATGCCTGTAATAGTGTTATAATGAATACTGTTTAAAATTAAAATTTTAATTTTGGGTTAAAATGCAGTTACCAGACAAAGTGGGCTGCCTTGCACTGATCACAAAGTAACTAATTGCTGCATTTACTTAATTTTGCCGCACTCATTTTGAAAATAAGTTAGCAAAACTTAAAGATACTACGACTACGATCAGCTGCTGCAGCGTTTCCCATTTCGTTCAACCAATAGCCAAAAGCATTATTTTCAACCTTTCTCTATTATTTTTTGTTAAAGTTATTTTAACGGTATTATAAACATTTACAGTAGAGCGTCGGTTTTCCAAAGCGTGATCATCTGAAACGTTGCAGGAGAGAATCAAAACCAATAAAAGACATGTAAACCTGTAAAAATATATTTTAATCTTATCAGTCAATGTTAAATCATGTATCTAATTTTTACTGTCATTCACCGATTATCGGAATAAATTAGATATCCGAACCCCCCAATCCCCAATTGTTATATACTGTATAATCGACTCTCTACTCTATTGCAGTAGCAAACCAACAGAAATAAGTTGACATACTGTTTTAGAGATTGATCATTTAGTTAGCTGTTATTTCTTTGTATTATTTTAAAAAAGTTGTTAAACTTTAAATTTTTTTTCTAATTTTTTGTCTTAGTCCTCCTGTTCTAATTTAATAACAACTTTTATTTTGGCTAATTATTGAGCGGAGCGAGCGAAGCTCTTTGGGATCAACTTCAATGCAAACAATATAACACCATCACTCAATAACGGCTGAACACATTTCAGCCAAACTTAACAAGACTACTTCTAGACTAATAATGAGATGGTTTGTAAACAAACAAATTTCAATTAGATAATGCTAATGCAATTTAAAACGAACTTAAAATTTCAAATTTTTAACATTAGGCTTATGGGGCTAAAGTAGCTATGACAGTTTTTTTGTTTACAAGAAAATTGTAAACAAGAGAATCATAAGGTATTTCTGAACTTTCTATACTTTTCTTTTAAACGTTTTTAAACCATTCCTATGATTTTAATAAACAAGAAAATGCCGTTAAAACATTTTTTTAAGGCGCGGAATTCACTGAAAATCGAGAAAATATACGGAACTACTTTCTCAATGCGCGGACCATAAACAAGGAGCGGAGGGATACGGACCAATGACTACTTTCTTGGGAACCTATTTCTTGTGTTGCCAGCTGATTAGAAACATCCAATGTTAGAAATCAGGATTTAATAAGCGATATATCGAACCGCAACGAAATCGATATTTAATCCGATAATACATCACAGATTATATTATGTTGAATTACATCGACGGTGCAGTAAGTTATTACACTTATTAATAAAACGCAGATTGAACACTGATCTAATTTAGGCATGTGGGGAAGGTAGGTCGGGGTTTATGAGTATTCGTGACTACATTAAGTGTTTTGAAGTAAGGTTAGATTAGGGAGGTAAAGTGTAGGTTATAGGTAGGTGATCGAGTTGTTTATTTGTGTTGCACCATATAATTTTTATCTTTTGGAATAGTTGGTTAAACGGGGAAACGATTTCAAAAATGTTTGCATATGGTCTTAACAAATTATCTACTGTATTCTAGCATTGACTTTATATGATTCTAGCAAATTACTACATAAAAACCAAAAGAAAAGAACATTTGGATTTGGACCTTTGCCCATAGCAAAACTAAAATATAATTTATGAAATGTGAAAAGTTGTACATCATTAAATGCTATTCTGTAATATTAATAATTGTTCGGCAAATCCTCATTTTAATGGCTCGGCTGAAAATGGAATCTGCATTTTGTGAAACAGTAATTTCGTAACAATTCAGTAATTTCAAATGTTGATAACAGTAGCCTATCCCATATAAATACTGTTATTTGATTGCCAAGCCACGTTGCCATACATACGTCCAGTTACAACCGTAATAATAAGTAAATAATCAATTACCTGTGCTTATAGAAGTACACACTTTTAACCACGGATAATTTTCTAGGCCTGTCCCCAGAAGTAGGCTACTAATTTCTAATTATATTATCTACATTGTATATTTAAGGCATGTCTTCCCTTCTTATTATTATTCTGTTTTCACTTAAATCAGCTGAGTGCGATGTTTACTTAAATTACTTATGTTTAGGCCTACATTTCAGCCATCTTATTTTATTTTTCAATAAATTAGTCTTTTTGCAGTTTTTACACATTGAAATACATGATTGATAATTCAGTTCATTTTAGTCTTTTAAAAGTGTTTTACATTTGAGTCTTGCGTTGAAATAGCCCTACATTTTTCGTAGGCCTATGTTTTATCTTTGACTATCAATACAACTAGACATTCCATCCCCATGTTAAATTTATAGCCAGCTTTTTCATCAAAATCTTCTGTATCCAATGTCAATATTTTTATTAAGGCCAGTATTAAAATGCCGTCTCTAAATCGTTCCAATAATGGTAGAAGACCTACATTCCAGTTACATTACAATCAAATCAAGAATACTTGGTATTAACAATAATAAATTATTTTCAGCAAAGAAAGCTGAGTTTAACCGATTGCAAGGGTTGAAATGAAGACCAATGTTTATGTTGCACAGTTGAATTTAAATGTCAAATTTCCCCTCCTGATGTTATACTTTAATACTCGTTTTTTAAATAGTTACTGTTTTCTTATACTTAAATACTTTAACCAATTTGTAAGGGTGAAAAATGAAGACCAATGTTTTTGTTGTAGGCTACAGTTGAATTTGAATGTTAAATTTCCTTTCTCTTTTTTATACTTTAATGCCCTTTTTGGATGTTAATAACAGATTCCAACTACTGTAATATTTTCCTGGTCAAAACTACCATCGTGCACTTCTGGAAGAGGTGTCTGAATAACAAGATGTACAGTGGAACTTGGATAATTCGAACCTCAAGGGACCAGCTAAAAACTTCGAATTATCCAAAAATTCGAATTAAATAAGTTCTTATAACCAGGGCCGTAAACAATAAAAACACGTTTTAAATTCAAACTATTAACTTTATTGATACTATTTGAACATTAATTTATTGAATAATGCCTATTACAGTAATAGTATACAATAAAAATAACTTGCAATCGCTCAAACGACAACGAAATTATGTACAAAACTAAAATTAACTAACCTTAAAATGTCCTCAGCAATAGCTGAACTGCACGCAAACTTCACACGATTACCAATAGTCCAAAGCAAAATATTAAGCAAAATAGGCCCTATACAGGACAACAGGACAGAAATAGAAAAATATCGGCCAAAGAGAACTAAAAGTTTGGAGACCGTATTGACTGATTGTTAAACAAAAAACATATCAAATCTAATTTATTGTTTTACAAAAAAAGAAGAGATTTTGGCTTGTTTCTTTGAGTTTAATCTCTCGGCCATGATAAATGATTCTAAAACATCTAATGATTTAAACTGTACATCACCGACATCATTTCTGCTCTCCACAAATCGCCGAATTTCTCTCAGGTAGGTCATGGCGTCGGCTGCATTCGGTACTGGCGTTTCTTCTTCATCGGCCGGTGACCCGACGATCTCGTCCCCCGATCCATCGTCATTTTGTTCCTCGGTGTCGAGGACTTCTGCTACGATGTCGGCGTCAGTTAATTCACCGCACACAGCGACATTTTCGTCTACATTAAGAAAGTCCTCGTACAAGATGGTTTGATTGGGTGCCACATCCTCCCAGCCGTCGATTGGTAGAGTTTCGTCCGTTACAGTTTCTTCGGCGCTTTCTTCGTCGGTTTTAACAAAACCTGCCTTTTTGAAGCAGTTTTTTATTGTTTCCGGCTTCACTTTGTCCCACGCTTGTTTGCACATTCGCGATGCTTCTAAAATGTCCAGCTTTATTTTGAGGGCGTTTCCTTCCCCGGACAGGATATTCTCGACCAACAAACCCCTGTAAAAGTGTTTCAAGTTTTTTATGATCCCTTGATCCATGGGCTGGACAACAGAGGTCATGTTGGCTGGGAAAAAAACCACTTTGACATTTTCCATGACAGGTATGGTGTTGTGTGCCGTGCAATTGTCAATGAAAAGGAGAACCTGTCGATTTTCTTTAACAAACTGTTTGTCCAACTTCATTAGCCACTTCGCAAAAAGGTCACTTGTCATCCAAGCCTTAGAACTGCTTACATATTCTACTGGCTTAGACTTGACATTTTTAAAGCAACGAGGATTGGCCGATTTTCCAATCATCAACAAAGGCAGCTTTTGCGAACCATCCATATTAGCACCAACCAATAGCGTGATTCTCTCCTTGCTTAATTTCCCCCCGTGGCACTTTTCGTCCTTAAATGCAAGTGTTTTATCGGGCGTGCATTTGAAAAAAAGACCGGTTTCGTCAACGTTAAAAATATTTCTCGGGTCTCTGTCCTGGATCATCTCTTCCAGATCGTTCTTCCACTGATTAGCTTCCTGCAGGTTCACCGCCCCACTTTCACCACACACTGCCTTAAACAAAATTTTATTGCGCTCCTTAAAACCATCCAGCCACCCAGTGCTAGCTTTAAAGTTTTGCTTCCCTAATTCTTTAGCAAATTGCTCAGCCTTGATTCTAATCAAAGGACCGCTCACAGGAACTTTCTTGTCTCTGGTCTGCTTGAACCATTTAAGCACACAATTGTCGACATCCGGATTTCCTGGCTCTCGCGATCGTTTCCTGTCTTTATCAAATTCCTCTGCACTGCTGAGAATTTTATGTTTATTTTTTAAGTAAGTTGATAAGGTGTTGGGTGGAATTCCAAAGTCTTTCGCGATTTCAGATTTTTTCTTGACTCCTTTTTCCACTTCTTTGATCACAGCGACTTTTTCAGCTAATGTCAAAGTTTTATAAGACCCTGGTTTTTTCGATGAGGTTGATGCCATGATCACTACACAGTTACACTCACTAAAAGTTAATGTATACAGTAGTGCAGTACGGTACGTTAAAACTACAGTACTGTACACGTAATCACTTGAAACTAAAAGTCTAAGACAACAGCAAAACTACGTTAGGTAACGGCCTTCACGCAAACCGATACAGACCACGCACAATGCGACACTGAAAAGAGGTCAGTGGTGGTGGGTGGGAGAGGAGAAAGGGGAAGGGAGTGTAGGGTACAATGACCTGTAGGGCGGTGGCGGGAGGGGAGGTATGAGTCATCAGACTAAACGCAGGCGCGCGAGGGCTGGCACTTGTTCTAACGCAAACATTTCGTCAAATGTGGCTTGGAATATGTTTTTTATTTATTATTTTTGAATATATTTAGAGTAATAATTTAATGATTTGGCACTTAAAAATTCGAATTATCCAAAATAAAATTCGAATTATCCACGTTATTTTAGCATTGTTTTAATACAAAATGCTAGGGACCACGGGAAAAATTCGAATTAAAGAAGATTTCGAATTAAAGAAGTTCGAATTATCCAGGTTCCACTGTAGTAAAAACAAATTTGAATTATTATAATTTTATAATCAATAAAACAAGCATTAATACATCTATTGACTTTTTTACATTTAGTTACTTATACAAATATCAAATCACGTTTGTTCCGCTCAACTGGCTTTCACCTCTCTGAAAGCAACCCTAGTTTAATTTTGTTATTCTATTAATACACTACACCAACATGTGATTACGACACATCAATAGTAAGGCTTGCTATTGCTAAGACTTGTTGATGTAAACTGGAAATATAATTATTACATATTTTTGACTAAACAAAATGGTTCTTGATATTTGTTGACCTAAAAGTTCATTTACCAAATCTGAGAATTTGAGAGTGATAGAAAACAAATCAAAGCTATAGAATATGTTTATTTTTTAAGTGGTCAGTATTACAAAAACCCTTTATTGTTAAAATCTCTTTATTTAATTTATTTCCTGTATGTTCTTTTAGAGTTGTGTCAAAGAAAAGAAAGCCGAATTAATCAAGAAACTAGCAGATAGTTGTCCTAATTATGAATTTGGAATTGGCGAGTTTTACCTGGACTTAGACTGCCACAATGATCCTGTGTCCAAAGTACACTTTTACACAAAACTGAGGGACTCCAATGCGATTAAAATAGAAGCCTACCAGAAAATCAGGGATTTGTTAGATCCGTTCCCATTTCAACTGTAAGTATAAAGAATTACCATTAATATGTACTAATTGTTGAGAGGATCTAGTGCTAGTTCTGGATTTTTCTATTTTACTATCCTATCTTTTCCAATAGACACTAATATGATTCTAATTGATGTTAGTGGCTGTCAAGATCCAAGCAGCAGATGATTAGTATACCAATCAGCTGTTGTGCAGGCTGGTGACTCCTTCCTTACAAGTCGTCCAATGTTTTTCGTATTAACTCAATTTGCTTTCAACAAACAGGTGAAAAGTCTGTTCTACTAGACAGACAGTTGTTCCCCTGATCTAGACATTATACACATAGGGCCGCATTATAAAAGAACACTACTTTTTACTTTCTGAACCACCCATGAAAAGTCCCAGCTCTTTTTGTTCGCTTATCCAGCCACAAGGTGTTCAGAGCAACCATTTTGAGTGGAAAGTAAATGTTAAACAGACTCTATCTTGGCCCATGATTTTATGATATGGATCTCCTTTGTGTAATTCAACAGAAAAGCTGGTCAAACATTGTTGCTTCTGAGAAGTTGGCAGTCAGTCCCTAACCTCATTCTCGACCAGGGTGACTAGGCATTCAGAAGTGTCAAATCATTCATTGTTCCCATTTACGTCTTGAAGGCAAGCCGATCCCAGACAAATTTTTTGAGTTGAGTTTAACTCACTTTATTTGGAGCCTGTTATTGTAAATAGTAGATGCAGACCCTTTTTCCCTTCATCCAATTTTTGTCATTTTATAGAGGGTCCATGCAGTTATGTATATATTAAAAATATTTTGTATATATTTTGTTTAATACTTGGTCTTGGGCTGTACAGGACCAGAGAACCCACAGCTGTGCTGTCAGTGTTCTGTAAGACAGAAAACGTCACTGACGAAGACCTCGCAGACGCCAAGACAATGATACTAAGTGTAGGCCTATCCACCAACACACAACCTTAGTTACCAATGCAGGTGGTACAACCTCAAAGAATTTTATTTATTTAATAAAAATAAGTAAACATATTTTAGAAATATATTTAATTTGTTAATACATGGTGATAGTAGTTATTTATTTTATGTGGTATTTTTGTAGTAATTGCTTGTTTTGTAACTCCCTAGTCGTATTGAATTACTCCTACTACTCGAACACTGTTTTCGAAATGTTTTATTTTTAGGCCCTGCCCTACAAAGTTAAAGCTGCTCATAAAATGAGAAATGCAGGTTAATTTTAAATGTGCTTATTACCTATAGAGATGTTTATTTATATTTGCTTGGAGATCTAATTATTTAGAAAGCAAACAAAATATTTATTAGACCTACAATTTTTTTTTTTTTATCAAATTGTGACTTAAACAATTTTGTAGGTCCAAAAATGTGCGGTTTTTGGATTTTTTTGAAGAAAAAGATAATGTTAGCTTAATTTATTAGTTGAAAAGTATCTTTTGAAGTTCGTAATCTTTGAAAATTATTGTTTTTAAATGGCAAGTCCAAAAATATATTTTGGTAATTACAGGTTAATATACGTATTAAGATCTGACAAGATGTGATTTAGAATTGAATCCAACCTTGGTGTATTTTTAGTTCTCAAAGTATATTTTTAGTGTGTGCTCTTAAGGAGCATTATTTATTGAACACATTTAACGATGTGAGACACATATTTATAAATTAAACTAATTAGCATAATTAGTAATGATATTTTTTTACCAATCAGTAGTGTGATATCTAGTTGAGAGTACCAAATATAGATATTCTAGTAAATGTTTGAATATTGTGATTGTTGCTTTAACCATTTTTGGTTTATGTTAGTATTTTGTTTCTGTTTGATATCTTGCAAGTAGCATGAATGTTAAATTTTTATTTATCCATTGCATAGGATTACTAGTTCTAGATGGTTTGCAATCATTTGATTTGGATAAAACAAAAAATTGAGCCATTACAATATACAAGAACGACCTGCACTGATAATCTTACTAAAGAGCATCGTCAGGTTGCAAACCCCTGAAATCCCTGCTTAGGTTTTACAGTTTGTTGTAGCACTGACTGAACCACAAACTTTCTAATGTACTGCATTTTACAAAAATTTGCATAAATTTTGTTTACATTGGTCAGTTGAACATATTTTTAAATTTTTTTCTGTCCAGCTACATTAAAGCTCAATTTTGAAATTTGGTTTGACTCATTTAAAGAAAACTAAAACTTGAGTTCAGGGTCGAGTGCCAGTTGCCTAAAATCTTTGTCAAGGGTCATTTTACAGCCTGAGGCATGACAGTGTGAGTGCCGCCAAGTAGCAATGACCAGTTCCATGGTGCGGCCGTATGGGGGTGGAAAGATCGACCGGGTTGTTCTTCCTGATTTTAAAAATGTAATTTATTTTAATTCCGTCAACATACTTAATCAACTGTACTTAAATACCAGTAACCTGCTCTCAAGCATTTACTTAATGAAAGATAAAAGAGTGATTTGACTATTCTTGATTTTTTTCATTTGCAAACTGTGGATATTTTTATTTAATATGTTCACAATGTCACAACAAAATCAATAAATAAAAAAAAAATATCTTAAGTAAGAAGTGGATCCTATTATAAAATTATGTATAGAACATGATACACTCTGAATTTGTATACCAACTTTGAATGTTTGACAAATAAATTGTATACATTTAATATTTTTTTAAGATAGTTTTAGAAATTTTAATTTTCACTTTCTCTTCTATAAATAGTAAGAATATGGGGAAAGTATTGTTTTTGACAAAATGTTTGAGTTTTGAATGGTCTTCTTAAAAGGTGGTTTTTGAAGTGATGTCTGTGTGTGGATGTGTATAGAGCTACAGACCACACCTGTGGTCCGATTTTGACAAAATTTGGTATGTGTGTATATTACTAATCCATAGTCTCTCCTAGTCTTTTATTCATTTGTTTAAATTTTTATTTTTAATAGGGTTTCTCCTATAAAATTGATAAAAAATTTTTATTTAAATATTGTTATTGTTTCCAGTTGTTTATTAATTTAGATTTGTGTTTGCAAGACCTTATTAAACTTATGCATACTACCAAAAGATTGTGTAATTTGATTTTAGCCTTCACTACAGGGTGTCCCTGAACTTTCTACTGACCATTTCAGGTATTATCCAAGACCAAAAACGAACTAAAATATCTCGTTGAAAATATCAAACACTCGTTTTGTACAGCTGTCGTTTTGTTTTTCTCGGTTGTCGTGATTTGAAATTTGGACAACACAAAAACTTGAAAAAAAAATTATTTTTATAAATTTTAATTTTAAAATGGCGGTTATTTAAAATTTTTGTTATGAAATAAGATAAAAACAACATTGTTAAATTAAACTACTGTTGCAATGTTTTATTTAGGCAATTTTATTATGATTCTAGCCGTACCATATCTAAGAAAAGAAAATCGGTTCATAATCTAAGGGAGAAAACTCATAATTTCAAAATACTGAGTATTAAACCGTACCTGCCATCATTGGGTAATATATATCACTGTAATAACTTGCTAAAGAAAATCCTGTTTTAGTTGTTATTTACCCAATGAGTAAAAATATTGTTGAACGCAGTATCTTACAAAATAATCTTTCCTCTTATTTATGAACCGATTTCTTAAATTAGATAGGCCTATCGTTAAAATTTTCTAAATAAAACCATTGACTATTTTAAAAGATGAAATACAACCACAGTGGTTTTGTTTATCTATGTAGTTTTAATGTTATTTAAGTTTAAAAGATTTAAATATCCGCCATTTAGAAACTGAAAGTGTATAAATAATATTTTTTCCCTAAATAGGTCTTTGCGTTATCTATCTATGTACCAAATTTCAATTAACTACAAATAGCCGTTATGAAATAAAAAAAAGTTATGTAAAAAAATGACGGTTGAGCAACGTTTTAGCTTGGGAATTTATACGGAATATTTTAGTTTGTCTTTGGTCCAGAAAAGATACATTCCTTAAAAGGTCAGTAGGGAGTTTGGGGGCACCTTGTTCATATATTTGCTGTATTAAATTGTATGTTTTTGTTTTTATTAATGTTGTTTAAAGGTATAAAATGACATTTTAAAATAATTTTGTTTAAAGTTGATTGTTTTGTTTTGGTCTTAAAATTAAAATAGAATTATGATTGTTTTTATTTTTAAATGATTTATTTCTTGCATATTTAAACAACATACAACATGGTTATAATACGTTGCGTAATATACAAAGGATAATTAATATACTACATACTACCAAATACGTATATTCCAGATATTACATGTTAATATGTGACATTTCTAGCCTTACGCAACTATTTTATTTAGTAATTAAGGTGACATGTGTGCTAGATTTCCATCCATGTTAATTAAAAGTTTTTGTTAACCTATACTGAATAAGTTTACAACAATTTAGGCAATTCTAATGTAATGTAAGATGCCTAACCTCTGTTTTTAAACTTGTTCTGGTATATTTTTTATGGTATGTATTTATTGTTTTTGTTTGTTATTAGTTCTAAATTTATACTTAATTTATTCCTGTTTGTGTTAATTGTTGCATTGTAGTTTAGTACGTTATTTGTGTGCTACTTTTTTACATCACATTAAATGTCATTATATAATTCTAGTTTGGCAGCTTGTCTTTTGTTTACCTGTGTATTTATGTTGGTATTACAAAACTGGGTTTCTAAATTATTAGGTTTTCTTTAACATAGTTTTTATGTCAAAGATACAAAACCAAATATGATTATACAACCAACAAACAAACGAAAATCAGATACTTAAACTATGTTTAGAATACAATAATAATACCAATAATTTTACAACACTAGGAAAAGCTATTTCTAACTCATTACTTTTCAGTTTCATTTGGAATGTGTTCAATACCAAACAAATATTGTGTATCTATTGTTATAGAATATTCTTATGGCAAATGTAACAGATGTCAAGATTTACAATTTAATTTACATTTTTTCGGTTGTATAATTTAATAGGAATCTTACTTAATTGTTTTACAGCAATCTTCACTCTTTTATCTCTACATAGGAAAGATTTGCAACAATATATTGTTCCTACACAATTTTATTATGTCATAGGTCATATCAACGTTTTAAACCAACATACTTAAAAAGCAAATTAGTTCAATTGGCATAGTATATCTCTAAGGATTTCTTTTCTTAGATAATTATAATTTTGTTTACCATTCCTGTGTCTTCGAACAACCTTTAGACAACTTTTGAATAGATAGTTGTCTTTAACTTAATCTGTTTGTTTGATTTTGGTAATCAAGCTCAGTTTGATTCCAATTTTTATTTATAAAGATTTCCCTGGAAATTTAAAATTAAACAACGGTTTACTTGCCCTAGATTCTCATCCGTGGCTTTTGTTTACCTTGAGAAAATAAGACTCGGCGCGTGTAATTGTATTGACTTTAAATAAATTGATTGCCTCAAATTCAACTAAGAACTTCCAAAACAATCATCAAGTGTGTGGTCGTTAGTTACCATTCAGAACTGTTTACCTATTTTCAGTCTTTTAAAAACATCTTTGGTGGTTTTGCGTAATACTTGTATCCTTGTCCTTTAGTCCTTTCACTGTTCTTAATTAAATACAAATAATTTATGTAAAGATTTATAATTATAAAGCCATATTAAAGGTTTTAAGCTGGTTCATAAACTTGGTGGTGTAAGCATTGAAAACTGGTTAAAACAAATTGTTCTAAAATTAATGTGAAACGATTATTATTTCAAACACATTCGTTCAAGAATCAATTAAAGTACCTATTAATAAGGTGTACAACTTAATATCAGGTAATATTCAATATTTATCTCAGAGCCCAACCTTAATGAAATCATGGCAAAACGATGCGGATAAATACTATAATTTTAACTATAATTTTAATATAATTTATAGGGGAATCTATCTATCCCTATCCTTGATACAATAAGGATTTTCTCTCTGACATCTCTTTTTTGCCAGTTCTACTTAACAGATTACATTTTAGGTGCCATTTCAAAGCTTTATGATCCAGCAGAGGTACTAAATAAATAAATAACGTCTTTATTTATCCAGCGTACATCAGATACAAAGTTCTGTTTTACATGCAAACTTTTGTCATATACAAGTAATTTAAATTAAATTAAGTTAAAAAATTACCTTAAACTAAACTAATGTTAACTAAGGTAATTTAATGTAGGGATTCGCCCCCCCCCCCCACCCCTAGGGTTTGATTTATCGCTAGAACTTACTTTCAAAGATCCAGTGATGCTAACTATCTATATTAGGCCTACAGGTTTAAATTTGAATTGCAAATTAATAGCACTTTAATACTTTTAATTAAAACAGCTTACCAATCAGTTTTCAGTTTAATGTTACACATAGTCAGATTATAAACATGAGACAAAACAATTGATGAAAACTACGTTTGAGACGATCTAGATAAACTTAATTCCTTTAAAAAGGAAGTCTAAACAAAAACTTAAGGGGCAGGAACAATAACTTTAATTTATGGGTAGGCCGTGGGCCTAATAATATCACCTGTAGGGATTTCAAACAACATCCAGGTTAGATTTTTGTTTAAACAAACACACCTTTAGGGATTCCAAGCTTGCTTCTGGATCTGCCCTTGCAAGGAATTTTCAAATTACATTTTACTACAAAATCTGTGGGGTTTCAAATTATTTTACCTCTTTACTCAACCCCCTCTCAATGTATATTTTTGAAAAGTTTCTAAAAGAGGAAGAATTGTACCTAATTATTTTTAAATTTTTTTTACTGTTTACCACCAAAAGAGAGCCTGTGTATACCAAGGTACTCTACTATACTAATCCATTCACTGTGGCATTATCAGTACACATACAGTGTTAATGGATGTAAAAGCTCCTGGGCTTGTCAGGGCTGCCAATCTACCATATTATCACTAAAATTCCCTCCTACATGAATGGAAGTCAAGTGCATTGTTTGCGTCATTGGTGTATATTTAGTATGAAATTCTTGGTGACAAAAATAACAACAACAAAAACATGTGAGCAGAAAAGGATTAAAGAAACATTTATGGAGTATTTTAATGTTAAAAATTACAAAATACAGACTAACATTATTTAGGGAAAATATGCATACAACAAAATATAAACTATCCCAACTAAAATAAAAACTTCAGTTTCTATTTAGTTTTCATGAATTTTCAACTAAATGTGTATGTTTAAATGACCTGGCAGTTTGACAGGTCAATAACAATTGTCTGTATTCTTGTGACTAAAGATTATTGCTTCTTGGTTACCTAATGCGCTTCTCGCTCTAAAGGGTTGGTGAAACAACTAACTATATGATATACATGTAAGTAAAACAATTGTTCATTCCTAATAGTGTAAAATTACTTGTTATTCAAACAACATTTTCAAGTATTTTTGTAAAGTAGTTTGTAGTTGGTTCAAAAGCGGATGTAACTGGTTCAATTCCCTAAGAACACAATACATGAATGTTCAACCCTTTTCATCACTTTTAACCGCAAGGTAAAATAATTAAATAGATAACTGATAAGTGGGCTTGTAAAATGTAGTAAATACTAACTACCGTGTTTAAAGAAGGTATTCACAGTTAGTTTTTTTTTTATCTACTAAAATTACTTTATAGAAACATATGTTTATTATATATGTCGACCTCAGTCACTAACAAGTAACAAGACTACAAGATCGCACCACTCATCTCCATTCATACTTGGCTTAAAATACCTACTTTGTATGGTCGCCATTTCATCAAAAAGTATTAAAAAGTAGTAACAAAATTGTTATATAAGTAACCACAATCTCGGCAAAGGATAATGAATGTGTAGCGCTGATTATGCTCTGTCAGGCTCAGACTTCAAGGGTGTATTATCATCTATGAATATGAAAACAACCCCATGTTCACAACTACAATATTTATTTAAAATATGTACTTAACACATTTTGATTAAACAATTTAAAATCTGTGGTTTCAAAGATTAGGTTATATTATTGGCTTAACCATACAAAATTTCAGTAATAATTTTAATATATCATGAAACGTCCTTTGCTAAAATGAAGTTTCTTAATGGTTTATGACCAGTTTATCGTACCTGTTTTCATCCGTAACCTTTTTCTTTTCAATACAGATGGATAAGTTTACCTATAAATAATTACATGTGTGCAAATGAAAATCATGCAACTGGCTAAAACACCATTTTATTGTAAATATACTTTTTCCTACAGTCCCCCGACAAAGTTGGCTTCCTTGCACTGTTTATAGTACACAAAGATGCTAATTGCTGCATGTACTTACTTTGGCACACATCAACACAAAACAGCGTGGTTTTATAATGCACGTAATCCGTGTACGCTTGGAAATAGGTTGGCAACACTTAAAGATAATACTATGATCAGCTGATTGACTATTATAACTGCGATTTAACCTGTCATTTCTTGTTTATAGTTTATGTTCATTTTTCGTTCAACGCTTGGTTTGAACACAACCTATAACATAAGTTAGGACCTGTAACTATTTGAAAGAATAATTATAAGTGGGCCTAGCATGTTTGAGAATAATGAACTCAGTGATTGTGAATATATTGTGTACACCAGAAGAAATATGTAGCAGAAACTGCAAAACATGTTTCATTAAACCTGTTTCCTGAAAATAAAGAAAGAAGTATAAACGAGCATATGAACTATTTTCTTCTTGGTTCGTAAGTAAGAAAGTTACAAGATAACTTGTTTATTCTGTTTATACTGATTATTACTGTTAATGCGTGTATTCTTGAAAACTAGGGTGGTCTGCCGTTACACTTTAGACGCATAAATGAGCGAAGCATTATTTAAAGATTGTCAATGGCTAAAGCAGCTAACAACCTACAATATGTTCCCTTTCAACAGATTCACAGTTTGTTTGCTCAATATTATTTAAGTTCTAAAGAATGACAAATTTATCTGATAGTTCATTTATTTAGTTAAGAATAAAAATAAGAATTGATAAAAGGTTATTAGACATGTGTATTTGTATTGTGTCTAAATTAAATAAACTTTAAACGTTTGAGAAATATATTTTAACATTGTAAAAAGTACAAACACTAAAACAAAACATTAAAATGTACAACTGACTCACAACAGAAAAACAGTAAATAATTAACCAATCAGCTGGTATTAAAACATAGGAAAATAGAATATTGTTAGTTGACACTAGATTGAATATATATCAACTCTCCCCTCTTAATTCTTAGGAAGGATCTGGTCAGTGTGTCTGGTCCATATCAATCCATTGTCCATTTTTATTCTGTACATGACGTTGCCCACTCGACTGATGATCTCTCCTAACCTCCACTTTTCTTTGGATGCATAGTTCCTTGCTTGCACCTTTTGTCCCACACTGAACTGTCTTCCAATCTTCCTTTGTTCTTTGACGCTAAACCTTTCTGTTTTATCTGACATGACGTTTAGTTTAGTCCTGATGTCTCTGCCAAACATCATCTTGTATGCAGACATTCCAGTTGTAGAGCTTGGTGCCTTCCTCAGCTGTGTGACTAATGCGTCGATCTTTGTTTGTATGTCACCTCTCTCCCCCACCATTGAATTTAGCCCCTTCTTCACTGTTTGTACGAATCTTTCTGCTTGTCCATTGCTAGAAGGATGAAATGGTGCGCATGTTCTATGACAAATTCCATTTTCTTTCAAATAGTTTTGAAAAGCTGTGCTGGTGAATTGTGTCCCGTTGTCTGTAACGACTGTCACTGGAAGACCGAACGTTGTAAATAGATGTTGTAACTTTTTGATACACCACTCTGCTGTAGTCGATTTTGTATGCAATATTTCTAGCCATTTAGTATGAGCATCAATGATGACTAGGAAGTAATTTCCATTCATGGGCCCAAGGAAATCTAAGTGTATTCTCTCCCATGGTCCAGATGGTTCTTCCCAAGGGTGATTCCTATCTTTTGGAGGTTCATTTCTCTTCTGGGAACATATCTTACAGTTTCTGACCAACTCTTCAATGTCTCTGTCCACATTCTTCCAGTACAAATAGCTTCTGGCCATTGCTTTCATTTTTGTCATCCCAAGGTGGCCCACGTGTAGTTCTTTGAGTACTTCTTTCTGAAGAGTTGAAGGTATCACAACCCTTATACCTCGAAAAACACATCCTTTGTGTAATGTGTACTCGTTGTTGTTTAATCCCATTGTCTCAAGATCATCTCCATTTTCAAGGGCTGTCTTGACTTTAGAGAAAAATGTATCCTTCTTTGTATGTTCTGCAATTGTCTCTTTGGTAAGTGGCAGCATAGATATTTGATTCATCTGAAATTTTGAATAGAGATCTTCACCTTCTTCTAACTTTTCTACTGGGAATCTTGAAAGAAAATCTGCATTGGAGTGGTCTGAAGTTTTTCTGTATTCTATTTTATAGTCAAAACCAGCAAGGAAAAGAGCGTAATTTAACAAACGTGTAGCTGACATTGCAGGTAGGGATTTTGAAGGATGAAAAATAGATACAAGAGGTTTGTGGTCTGTGACAAGAATGAATTTCCTGCCATAGCAGTATGGAAAGAACTTTTTCACACCCCAATAAATGGCAGTCGCTTCTTTGTCAATTTGACTGTATTGATTCTCACTTTTACTTAGTGACCTAGATGCAAAGGCAATTGGCTTTTCTGTTCCATCTTTTAGATGGTGTGAAATTACAGCTCCTAAGCCAGTTGGTGATGCATCTGGTGACAGTATTAAGGGTAATGACGGATTGTAATGGATTAGAGTTTCATCTTTGGCAATGTCCAATTTAACAGATTCAAAACTTCTTTCACATTCATCAGTCCATTCGAATTTCTTGCCCTTCTGTAAGAGTTTGTTCAAAGGGTTTAGTTTCTCTGCCAGTTTGGGTATGAACTTATTGTAGTAGTTTGCCAAACCTATGAAAGAACGTAATTGGTTGACATCACGAGGTCGCTTTGCTTCAACAATTGCTTTTACCTTTTCAGACCCCTTTTGAAGTCCATTTTCATCAATTGTATGACCTAAGTAAGCAATCCTTTTCTGAAAGAATTTACATTTTTAAAAATTTAATCTAAGGTCATGTTCCCTTATTTTATCAAGGACTAGCTTCAATCTTTGCACAGTTTCTTCATAATTCGATCCTTGTATGATAATGTCGTCAAAGAAGCATTTAACACCGCTAATTCCTTGTAGTATTCTGTCCATGAACCTTTGCCATACTGATGGTGCTACTTTACCCCAAACATCATCCTGTTGACTTTGTAAAGACCTTTTTCAGTACTTATAGTTTGCATATTTGAACTTTCCTCATCCATTTGCATGTGCAGGTAAGCATTGCTTATGTCCAATGTACAAAATAGCTTCCCTCCATTCATTTCCGCAAAAATGTCCTCTATCCTAGGTATTGGATGTTTGTCGTCTTGTATCACTTTATTCAGTGTAGTTTTATAGTCTGCACATATTCTTACAGATCCATTGGGTTTAACCACTGGGACAATTGGCGTTCCCCACTGAGCATTGTTCACCTTAGTGATTATACCGGCATTCTCTAGTCGATTGAGTTTGTCTTCTACTTTTCCTTTAAGTGAGTATGGAACTTGTCTGGGTTTGATGAAAATGGGCTGGCAACCTTCTTGAAGGGATAAATGAACCTTCTCGTTCGGAATACATCCAATTTCCTTTTTGAAAACATCAGAGAATTCTATAAGGAGTTTAGAAAGATCACACGAGTTTTCTTGAATAGTTCTGATATCTCCAATTTTTAAGTTAATCTCCCTAAGCCACTCTCTTCCGAAAATAGGTTCAACATTTTGTCCAATTACATACAGCTTGCCAAAGTATGCTTTGTCTTTGAAGCTAAACTCAACATACACTACCCCCTTTGGTTTTATAAGTTCGCCCGTGTAAGTTCTTAGTTGTACGTGAGTTTGAAATAGTTTTTTACTCAAATTTAGTTTCTTATAATCCTTGTATGATATCGACGATAAAGCTGCTCCTGTGTCCAATTCCATTTGAATTGGCTTTCCTTCTAATGTAACTTCAACCATGAACTTGTCAGAACCATTCATTTGTATCTTATATGTGTCGTACGTTGCATGGTCAATATCACTTACGTTTTCACTGTCCTCGATCTGGTTGATATGCCTAGCTCTGTTCTTTGCCATGCAGACCCTGGCTAAGTGACCAACCTTATTACAAGAATTGCAGAATTCATCCTTATACCTGCAACTATCAGCTTTATGGAACTTATCCCCGCATCGATAGCACCGACCACGCAGTTAGTCAAATGTAGAGCGAACTGTATGATATCTTTCGGTCTTCTTGGTTGGTCCTTTGCTTGCATATTGTTGTTGTTCCGGCTTCTTTCTTTCAGTGCTTCCTGTTAGCTTAAGAACAGCAGCTGTTGTAGGATTTCATATAATGCTGCTCTCAAGTCTTGAGGATTCAAAGGAAATTGCAGCTTGCACTGAATCTTTGAAAGTATTTGTTTCTTTCTGTAGTAACTGCCCTCTTACATCATTATCTTTAAGTCCTCTAACAAACTGCATTCTTAGTAACATGTCTGATACAGATTTCCCACATTCACATTGAAAGCGACAATCCTTTGCTAGTCTCTTCAAATCCATTGAAAAATCCATCGTTGATTCGTCTTGCTGAACATGGCACAAAAATTTGTGTTGAAGAGATATAACACTAGGTAACGGTTCCAAATAATCCTTCAATACTGTTACCACATTTTTGTAATCCATTTTGTATGGATCATCTGGAAAAACCAGGTCTTGAAGCTGTTCATGTAGTTTTGGTGGAAGCACTGCAAGTAATGTGCAAAGTTTTATTTTATCGTCAGAAATTTCCTTCAAGGAAATAAAGTTTTCAAATCTTTTGATAAAGTTCGTAAATGATTCTCCTTCGTCGAATGGAACAAAAGCAATATTTGATGTAACAGAAGGGTGTGAACCTACCGAAGACTGATTCGTAACTGTGGTTGGGGATTGCAGTTTGTTTCTCAACACCACTTCGGTTGTAATGTACAGCTCTTCAACTTCACTTCTACTAGTTGCTAATTGCTCAATATCTTCTTCATCAACTAAAGATTCAAGTTCAGATTGAGCATTTTCGAATCTGTTCCAATATGTCCGTAATGAAGACAACCGCACTGTGACTTCATCACTACTCATGTCTTCTCTCACTGTTTTATTTTGTACAATTGCATTGTAAGCTTTGCTAATTTGAATTTTGCTTGCAGTTAATACCTTTTTAAGCTTAAGTATTTCACTCATCCTCGTCGCCAATATTGTGTCTAAATTAAATAAACTTTAAACGTTTGAGAAATATATTTTAACATTGTAAAAAGTACAAACACTAAAACAAAACTTTAAATTGTACAACTGACTCACAACAGAAAAACAGTAAATAATTAACCAATCAGCTGGTATTAAAACATAGGAAAATAGAATATTGTTAGTTGACACTAGATTGAATATATATCAATTTGACATTTCGTTTAAACGGTCAAGAGCTTCTTTCTTGTAGTTGGTGTAGCGCGTATGTCAAAATAGAATGGGTTATTTGCCTTCAGCCAAATAAGTGCTTGCTGTAGTTTTTCACGTCGAACTTTGTAATCGATATGGCCAAAGATGCCTTGACGTTTTGGACAATGATGACTTTTAAGTTTTCGCTCAGTGTAGGCAAGACAGATGCTATTTCATTAATATCTTGCTCAACATTAATGATGTTAACTTTGTAATGAAACTGGCCATCCTGACCATTTGCTTGTACTTTGTAAATGCGCATAAAGCGGGATGTACTCGTGCAATCAACATTTGTTCTACAATCGTCAGGTCAGTTAATTCGTTCGGGACACTTGACACATCCATAGCATCACACTTCTGTATCCAATAGTCAATGATATTATTTAACGCCGTGAATTTAGCATTTGAATGACAACGCGAACAAATCGGTGATTGGTTTGAAGATGTTAGTTGTTGGCGATGACAGTTAATGCAAGTGTAAAATTTTAGTGCATCTAATTCATGTTATAATTGATTAGCTAACTGCCTATCATTACCAGCTTCTTGCGCCACTGCTTCATCTGGTTCTTCTTGTTCACGACGCCACTCTCTTACAATATTTGCATTATTGGTGCGACGACCAATATGACGACGTGGCCTTTGATCATGCTCAAAACAAATATAGCAAAACTTTTACTTCCATTGATAAACTGTTACATTTAAACTTTAACCTAGGATGAAAGTAAACATTAAAATGTAAACAAAACAGTTACAAACATTTAACACATGTTTATCTTATTTAAATGAAACGAGAAAAACCCTTATGTCATAAACCCAATATAATTTGTCTTTCAACTTACATTAAAATAACAAGCGAAATTGCGTGACCCGTAAAATAAAATTTAGAGGAAAATTTGCAAATATTTTTTACCAAAACATTGTGCTCAGTATTCTTTAGCTGTTGGCCAAATTTAATATTAGTTGGTCAAGCCATTTACATTCTGATGCTCTTACAAAGAAGTTACAAAGTGAGGGAAAGTGAGCTTCGCTCAATAAGTACCAACACCTAAAGATACTACGACTACAATCACCAAAGTGATACTTTCCTCACTAGTTATACACAAATAACTACCGTATTGGAAACGCATAACAAAACCAAATTAAAACTTGAAAGGAAATTTTGTTCCCGTTAAAATAACAAACCCGTTATTAATCGTAGTTTTGACAACTAGATTTGCACTATAAAATAGCTTATTCCCTTTATGGGAAATTCGCTAAAATTATGCATAACATTTTTGCTTGATATCTAACCATGTATATAAATACCTGAGGTACTTTTTATATGGTCATGTTAAATTAAAAGACTCAGAATAAGAATATGTTACTTTACAAAGCTCTTTTAAAAATAGAAAATCAATACAAAATTATGAAAATTTAGTAGAATTTGTTATCACATCATACGGCTTATAATTAAACAGGAGGTAAGGTTGAATATTTTTACGTAAGGCTATCGATTTTTTATATGAGTACTATTGATACAAACGCGAAAAAGGTTAGAATATAATCCCTTTGGTGCAAGTAAAAATACCAGTAAGCAAATTCTACATACTATGTAAAATAATTAAAATTTAAACAAAACTTTAAACTATAAGCTGTCTAATGTTCCTCCTGAAATACTCAGTTAATCAATAAGTTCAAATCTTGTCCATTGACAACCTCTCTTCAGCTAACTAAAATTCAGTCGATTTAAATTTTGGAAATTCACATTTACATTCTATGGATTTTTAATTTTTTAATTTTTTAATTACCATTAAAAACTGAATTTATATGCTTATAATTTAATCATTTTAAACCTTTGGATATTGATTTCTTCACAGTTTTAATATAATAGATTATAGTTAATAAGAAATTAGTGATTGGACTTAACTATTAACTAAAAATCCATAGTAGTAAACACATATTTAATAACACTATAAAACTAATGTAATATTAAGAATTATTATTATTGAAGCTGTATTATTTTCTTCAGACCTTTTACGAATTCAATAGGCGTATAATTTTGTGATCGATAAACTTAAATATATTTGTAAAATAGTTACTCAAACTGCTATTGTTATCGTGACGTAATTGATTTGATTATAACGATTAAATTTCCCTGTAGTCAGTTCTAAACAAATATTTTTTAATAATTACTTACCTAAGTCACAATCTTTGTTGTGTAATAAACAATAGGGAGAGCTGTTTAAAGACATTAATTGGTTCCTTCTCGCTCCCGTTTTTCCGTTTTTCTCCGTGCCGTTTTTAATTAGCTCACTTCTAACGCATTCATTATCATTCATTCAAATATAGCAGTATTAAAACAGTGAAAATTTACAAATCTAACCTAGATTTAGTCTGATATTTTACTAAAAAGACAAATGATTAAGATCTCTCAGTTTAAACAATTGTATGATAAATTTGTAAAAAAAAGATTTTTTCACTGAGGGGTTTTATATACCATATTCCCTTACTTGCAATAAGTTCGTTAATTTTTAATTTAGATTATTTTAATATTCACGGTTGACAAATAGGTGAAGATAGAGAGCGAACGACTTCGATACCAACGATAACGATATACCATAGATTAAGGATGGTAGAACCACTATCTACTAAATAGTGGGTTTAATTAATCTATGGATATAGGCCTACGCAACAGGGCTGTACCACTTTTGTTCCGCGGTTGAATGCTAATTTCTTCACACCACTTTTGTTTTGGTTGACTTCGGGACCAGCTGAAACATCGCTTTTGTTCCGCGGACATCTCTCTTGTTCTGCGAGAGAGGGGGATGCTGTACTCACCCGTCCCCAAATCATCTCTTTCGTCCTCCTAATTCTTTCTTTCACGCGTTCTTTAAAACTCGTTAAATTATAAATTTCCTCCTTAAAAATATCAATAATTTAACCTAACCTAACCTATGAAAGAAAAAAATAGGAGGAGAGCGAAACAGAGGATTTGGGGGAGGGAGAGTGCAGCCTCCTCTCTCGCGGAACAAGAGAGATGTCCGCGGAACAAAAGCAATGTTTCGGCCTGTCCCGAAATCTACCTGCTGACCCCCGGAACAAAAGTGATGTGAATAAATTAGCCTTCAACCGCGGAACAAAAGCGACACACGCCTCAACTGAAGCTGCTTGTTGACATTGTTTACAGCGCTCCCAATTTCAATTATATACCACATCCCCATACACTTGCCATAAGTTAGTTCATTTAAACTTGAAAATATTCAATGTAATCAATTAATTTATATGACAAAACAACGTCATATAAATTGATTAATTAATGTTAAATAGTTATTTGTGCAACCAGTGCCTCACTCGAGAGAAATCCTTACTCACGAGCCGTAGGCGAGTGAGGAATGGTTTCTCGAGTGAGGCGATTGTACTTTGCGCTCGAGTTGCGGATTATATTTTTTTCTACAGTTACCATAAAACAAATAAATTGATAAAGAAAATTGCATTCACGTTGCAAATCTGGAGTGAGACAATGTTTGTCTCACTGATGAGCGAATTGGTCACTTTGCTTTCTCAAATCAGTGAGAGGACATGTACATTGTTAGGTAACTGTAGGAAAAATAACACTTATCTTGAAGTTTCAAAATGTAGGCCTTTGCATTAAATGTTATTTTTTGGTGAAGATTAATAAAAGTACCTTATAAAAGTATGTTAGTATAAAATAATATATTCATTAGTAAGAAATGCCATATCTTACGCATTTTATAAGCTTGATTTAAATGCTAGATAATACAATAGTTTATATTGAGAAAAAATAAAAGAAACACAAGTAATGTATAAAATACGAATCTCTTTAATAAATTCTTGAATAGCCTAATTAATTCAAAGTGAATCCTAAATGAGGGACACCGAGTGTTCCCAAAAGTTGCCCAAACTTATCACAAACTTCAAAACAAGACGAAGCTTAAAACTAACACCTGATTTGAGGTACCGTACCTTAAGGTTGATCAAAGTTTCATTCTAACTTCTTTATACTTGTCTGTTACTAAACTTTATCAGTAGTTTGTTAGAACTTGTAATCACTCCAAAAGAAAATTAACTTTGCAAGGCAAATTAATTTCATATTTTAAGTTCGACCAGTCAATCAAAAGGTGCTCATTAATAAGTTTGGTTAAAGACGGAATAATCTGTAATTTTAAATTAAAATGAAGTTCAGTTTTATTTAAGGACGATTTTCCTTAACTGTACCAGTATAGTGTTCTACGTTTTCATTTACAGCATTTCGTAATCATAGATTAATTAAATGTGGAAGATTTAATTGTGACAAACAATTCATATGGAATAAATCCAAACAACAGCAGATTATGTTACCCTAAAAATAAATTTTTGACCAGCGAATTTTACTATGAAAAAGCAATTTTTAAACTGTAGTCCTCTTGAAAAAACCATAGTTTGAGACTACTCCTAATCTATGATAAGACCTTTTGGAGAGCGTTGTAAATTTTCGATTGAGGTAAGTTTCAGATCTGTTCACAGTTCACAGTTCACAGTTCAAAAATCTTTATTTTCTGCATATGAAATAAATACAAATACTCCCATGAACCACGCAGGGTTCGTGCGGGAAACTGTCATTTTACTGTTCAATTTATCCAACATCATAAATACAGTCCACTATTTAA